CAAAAATAATGTAATATATTCATGAGACTTCTGCAACTATACGAGGGGACGGGGGAGGAATAGGGGAATAGGGAGGAAGGGAGGAATAGGGGGGAATAGGGGAATAGGGGGAGGAAGGGGGAGGAGGTAGGGAGGAAGGGGAAGGGGAGGGAAGGGGGGAGGAGTAGGGGAGGGGAAGAGGGAGGAGTAGGGGAGGGAAGGGGGAATAGGGGAGGGAAGGGGGAGGAGTAGGGGAGGGAAAGGGGGAGGAACAGGGGAGGGGAAGAGGGAGGGAGGGGGGAAAGGTATGGTGACGAAATTGTATCTGGACTCTTAACTAAACTCTTTCTCGTATCACCAGGTTAAGTTAGGTTACGTTAGGCTAGGTTAGGTTAGATTAGATTAGGCTAGGTTAGGCTAGATTAGATTAGATTAGGCTAGGTTAGGTTAGGCTTGGTTAGGCTAGATTAGATTAGCGTTAACTCACTTTCACAACTATTTTTTTTACTTGTTTTTGTGACAATTCATTTTAGAGAAAGTATAACGAATAATTGGAAAATTTTGGGGTTAGAACTGACCTTTTAAGCGAGTTAGTTAATATACGCCCTTACATCACCAGTTGGGTTGAGAGATTAAACACGAACTTCTGAGAATCCATTTAGGGTCGCAGTTTAATTTCAGTTGATATGCAAATGTTCGTAAATCCAAATCGCGGTCAATACATAACACTTACACACACACTTACACACTTACCCACACACACACACATAGTCCAAATTCAGTAAGATTCGTAAAATGAATAAATCTCCTAAGTAAAGATGTAATAACGTACCTACGATTTGGGTTGACTTAAAAATAACGTACATAAATAACGTACAGACATTCTAAAATAATCTGTACGTTAATTTTACCTGATTTTATAAGAATGTGATAAGTTAAGGTAGAGTCTCAGTGCAGTTTTGGTGTCATTCTTTAGCGATATATTTTTGTTTCTTTTGTTAAGATTTACTTGTACGTAAATTTAAAAACCTCAAAGGGGACCCAACGACTCTTTACCCAAGGACCTCAAGAACCCCAGAGCCACCGCTGGAGAGGAGGAGGAGGAAGAGCTGAGAGGAAGAGGCGGGAGGAGGGTGGGTGGGTGGAAACCGGCAGGAATCGAACTTACGAATCCTTGAGAATGTACAGTAGTATCCTGAAGAGCACTCATCATCCCTGCACCCCCTTCAGGTCCCGGATGTACCCATTGAGCTGGACTTCGATCGAGGAACAAATTAATACAAGTCACGTGACGCTCTGTTGTTATTGATTAACTTTGAGGGTCATAATTAGTTGGGTATTTTGCTGTTTAGAATAATTAATCTCATTCCCACGGTGGAAATGAAATACCGGATAACATTTAACTAGAAATATCAGTTTAGAAGTAGTAATAATAATAAAAACAAATGAACAACGGGAATGGTGCAGACTCTAATGATAGTTGTTGAGATGACTTGACAAAGACGCGACGCCCTGATACCTGCACGAGCCATCAAAAGAGCCTGGCGATCCCCTTTCCCCACATGACACACTTATAGAAGCTACGCCAGACGAACGTTCACCAGCCTTCCCTCCACCCCAAAATGACACACTTATAGAAGCTACGCCAGACGAACGTTCACCAGCCTTCCCTCCACCCCACAATGACACACTTATAGAAGCTACGCCAGACAAACGTTCACCAGCCTTCCCTCCACCCCACAATGACACACTTATAGAAGCTACGCCAGACAAACGTTCACCAGCCTTCCCTCCACCCCACAATGACACACTTATAGAAGCTACACCAGACGAACGTTCACCAGCCTTCCCTCCACCCCACAATGACACACTTATAGAAGCTACACCAGACAAACGTTCACCAGCCTTCCCTCCACCCCACAATGACACACTTATAGAAGCTACGCCAGACAAACGTTCACCAGCCTTCTACCAACAGTGGCGATCTTAAGACTACAGCAACACTTTAAGGTCGTCTGGTGGCAAGTGTTGAACAGTGGAGGGATCATACACAGATTACTGGCCTCTCCTTCCCTCGGCATGGCCACTTCTAGGTAGGGTGGCCATTAGGTAAATATTCTAGTCCCATATACACAGCTGAGAGAGAGAGATGCTGGTGGGTAAAGTCAGAGAATATATCACAGCTACATCGTCTCGTCACACACCCAGCCTCTCTTTCTCTCAAATCTTCCTAAATGGTTCGACTCTCCCACGTTACTAAATGGTTAGTTTATTCTGGGTCGTGACCACCTGACCTACCACCTTCACCCACTGAGAATGTTTACTCAGTGGGTGCGACACATCGAGACTGTGTGTGTGTGTGTGTATAATTTTCATTCTTATTATTATTATTTATTGTTGTTATCACTCTTATTACCGGTGTTATATCATCATCATCATCATCATCATCATCATCATCATCATCATCATCATTACTAGAAGAAATTTATAGAATATGCATATGACAATTAGCATCAGTAGAGAATTCTGGGTTTTATTTCACCAAAACAAAATGTTTCTGGAGCAATGGAAGAGGAGGGTGGTGGAAGAGATAGGAGAGGAGGGAGGCGATGGAGGAGTTGCAAGGTGATGGTGGAGGAAGAGGAGGGTGTTGGAGGAGAAGGTGGTTGAGGAAGAGGAGTGTTGGAGGAGAAGGTGGTTGAGGAAGAGGAGTGTTGGAGGAGAAGGTGGTTGAGGAAGAGGAGTGTTGGAGGAGGAAGAGGAGTGTGGAGGACGAGGAAGGTGATGGAGGACGAGGAAGATGTTGGAGGAGGAGGAAGGTGATGGAGGACGAGGAAGATGGTGAAGAGTGAGATGATGGAGGAGGAAGAGGATGGGCACATCTCACACGTCAAGTGGCACATCCTCCCAAGACGATGACTTCACGTCCACCTTCTGGACCTATGACCTTTCTCTTCACCACCTGCCTCCACCATCACCACCACCTGCACCCACCTCCACCACCACCTGCATCCACCATCACCACCTGCACCCACCACCACCACCACCTGCACCCACCACCATCATCACCTGCACCCACCACCACCTGCACCCACCACCACCACCTGCACCCACCACCACCTGCACCCACCACCACCACCACCCATATCATCCGGCAGTGGGCATGTAGACGAGTTCCGGTAAATCATTTGCTTCCGTTATTTTGCCGTCACTTCTGGTGGGCCGGTTACTACTGGTTACGTTAGTCAGTTTCCGGTTACGTAAAAAGGTGCGTTTGTTTTAGCCGGCAGCGATATTGTCTTTACCGGTTGTTTATTGTATTGTAGGCTTTTGCCGGTTCTATAAAGATCTAGGCTATTTTACCGGTGGTTATTGTCTTTACCGGCCCCTAAATTAAGACTTTTCTTACCGATAACTACAATGTATTTACCGGTTATTTAAGCATTTGGGCTATTTCCTGGTACCACATACTCCTTTACCGGTTCTGTAAGAGGTTCATGTTTTACCGGTACCACTGCTGTCTTTACCAGTTCTACGAGTCGTTTGGCTCTTGTACCGGCAGGTAAAATGTCACTACCGGTACAATTACTACCTTTACCGGTAATATGTGTTTTCCTATTAAGAATTTAGGCTATCTCACCGGAAAAGATACTATCTCAAATCGGTTCTATAAAATATTAGCTTATTTTCCCGACAATTTAACGGATAGGATTTTCCGGTTAATTTCACTGACAGATACCAACTCTAAGTAACCGGATATTTAACCAATAATACTACTGAATTAATCGTTATCGAAGGAAGAGACGTTTACAGGTTAATCTCGTTTCAGTTTTGTATCCGGATAAATGCATTACTATTAGTATTTAACAAATAAACTATCGAAGTTAAAATACGCGCTTTTAATATGGTTAAATTAAGGAGTTACGATACATTATAACATCGCCTCAACATTTTTAACATTTTTCGTAATCTGGTTATCCATTGACGTTAAGCTTTTAGATATATAACACGAGCAGCAATTTCAGAAAAAAGCTACGGTACAAAGCTTAATTCAGGTTTCAAGCTTTTTAAGTTATAGTGAATATCTTACAGTACAGCGTTAATGGGTAAATAAATTATAAAAAAGTTACTGACAAGATCAATAACGGCTGTAACAGTTATCGTCTTAAGAAATAGTTTATAATATTATTTGGCTTCTGTTACTCCCCGGGATAACACCTTAATGGTCTACGGTTAAGGTGTAGAAGAGGGTGACCACCAGAAGGAATCGTCCGAATTGGTTGAAATTTTTTCTACACACTAATATGATAATATTAAACACAAAAATGGAAACGACAATGCATAGAACCTAATAGAACCTGACCTAACATACCCATAGGTTGGGTTTGTTAGATAAAGTAGCAGTAAAGTGTTGACGTTGTAATGTAAAGTGGCAGTAAAGTGTTGACGTTTTAATATAAAGTGGCAGTAAAGTGTTGACGTTGTTGTGTAAAGTGGCAGTAAAGTGTTGACGGTGTGATGTAAAGTGGCAGTAAAGTGTTGACGGTGTTATGCAAAGTGGCAGTAAAGTGTTGACGGTGTTATGTAAAGTGGCAGTAAAGTGTTGACGTTGCAATATAAAGTGGCAATTAAGTTAGAAATTACACTTGTCCACCAAAAAAATATAAATAAAATAATATATATATATATATATATATATATATATATATATATATATATATATATATATATATATATATATATATCGATAAAATCACACAGGAAAAAGGGAAACAATGGAGCACCTTAGCTTTCGTCTTTATTCAAGACATCTTCAGAGGCAACTGGATTACATGGACCGAGAGGGGCTTAAGTACACAGGGTGACCTGACATCGCTCTCGTAAAGTGTTAAAACGACTGATCGTTCCTTGTTAGCCAATACACTATTATTATTCGTCAATAAACAATAATGCCAATAAAGTTTCTTTCACTAATACTATTACTACATATACACTGTAAAGACGCATAAAACAACACTTACCGTAACAACAGAAGATGATGAGCGTTGTACGAAACATCTTGAAGTTCCGACACAAAATTTCGTCCAAGTAAAAATTCAAACCCAGAAAATACTTATAATCTTTGCTGTATTAACCACCAAACATTTGACACGTGAAGTTCGATGCCCATACGCGCTGGCAAGCATATGTACTCACAAGACATTCATGCTTCCTGGAATTCATCAATAAATGACAAGATCACTCGAGGATTATCATCAAGAAACTGGAGACGCGATGGAGGATTAAGATAAGGAATTTAAAGTGGATTGTGGTTGTTTATGCGGAGCTGACGCGTGTGTGGAGAACTGGTGTAGGAGACGCAGCGTCCATACCCTACAACGTCCGGCTCGCTACTGGCTCCCTCCCCGCGTGTCTGCACTGTATGTTGGGGTTGGGGGCTGTTGGCCAATAACAATATTGCGTAGGTCAGTTCACTCGCTTACCTACTGCGATTTACCACAGTTTTGGGGTCAGTTTTGGCGTATCCAGGTTAAGGTAAAACATCAAGAAAAACCTACAGCGCAGAACTAGATTTTAAGGACTTTGCTATAGTATCCGCTTAGAGCAGTAGTTCTCAACCTGGGGGCCATGGCCCCCAAGGGAGCCACGGCGAGCTGTTATAAATTGTACGTTTCCAAATAATGTTGGGAATCTGAATTAAACAAAACTTGTATTACTTATTTTGACTTGGCAGAAGAGAATTTTCATTCTTTTTTTGTCATTTGGTTTAATCATAACGACAATACAATTTTAATATTTACATACTCTGGTGCTATTTTTTTTTTTTTACTGATTATTTAAGATGTCACAGGTCCAGTCCCTGTCTGTGTGACAGGCGCTGGACCAAGCTGCTGAACTGACTTGTTCAGTACGTGTCCGTGTGTCATCCCTTTGCAAGTGGTGATAGGACCGAATAATCTCAGTCTGGCCTGAGATCCCATCACGAAAACAGTGGAGGCCACGAGGATGTTGAAAATCCCTCAAGGGAGGAATGGAGTAAAAAAGGTTGAGAACCACTGACCTAATATAACCTTGATCTAACATAACCTTGATCTAACATAACCTTGATCTAACATAACCTTGATCTAACATAACCTTGATCTAACATAACCTAGATCTAAAATAACATTAACCTAAAATAACCTTAACCTAAAATAGCCTTAACCTAACCTTATCTGATATTGTCTTAACATAACCTTAACTTGACCTTTAACCAACTATAACATTAACAGACTATAAAATTCACCTAACATAGCCTTAAACAAACCTTAATTTACATTTTATGTAATATAACTTATCCCAACATAAAGTTAACCTAATGTAACCTTAACCTAACGTAACATGACCTTAACCTAACCTAACCAATTATACGGTTACTTCGTGGTTAAATATTATTATGGCCAAGGTCTGGGATAACATTAAACGGAACACCTTAAAATTAGCCACCCCAGCTTATTTCATCTGAAGATCGGGCATCCCAGCTTATTTCACCTGAAGATTAGGGATCCCACATTATTTCACCTGATACACACCCCCAGCTTATTTCACCTGATGATTAAACAAGCTAACCTAACAAAACCTAACCTAACCTAACCTAACCTTACCTAACTTAACTAACTGTAACCTAACCTCACCTAAACTAACACAAATTCTAACTTGGGTTTCGTTTCTGCTTTTTCGTGGTTACGTTGATCGCTACCATCGCTTTATTCTCGAGTGCTGCTAAACCACTGCTGTTTCCTGCAATTTACAGTCACACTCGACCTTGTTTCTCTGACAGCCAGTACTCGGTGGTTGGTCTTGGGGAAGTACTGGCATATTTTTGGAGTACAATTAATTGGAAGTTGTGGTATTCTGTAATAGAGATATACCATATTTACTATTGCTGTGTGAGTCAGTACCAGTAGTATAACACCACCACCACCAGCTTCTTGTAGTGTGAGTCAGTACCAGTAGTATAACACCACCACCACCAGCTTGTTGTAGTGTGAGTCAGTACCAGTAGTATAACACCACCACCACCAGCTTGTTGTAGTGTGAGTCAGTACCAGTAGTATAACACCACCACCACCAGCTTGTTGTAGTGTGAGTCAGTACCAGTAGTATAACCATATCGTTACCAGATTGATATATATATACCTGTACCTAATTAGCTCATAATCAGGAAGGCCACAGCAGTCAGTGATTCACCTGTCCGATCATTACAGGTGTGTAAGGCAAGTGAGGGCAGTACACGTTCACCACGCATACGATCGCTACACCCAGCCTACACGATCGCTACACCCGCTACACCCAGCCTACACGATCGCTACACCCGCTACACCCAGCCTACACGATCGCTACACCCGCTACACCCAGCCTACACGATCGCAACACCCGCTACACCCAGCCTACACGATCGCTACACCCGCTACACCCAGCCTACACGATCGCTACACCCAGCCTTAGCCGCCGTCATAAAACGATATACTGTACATCTCGCTCGTGCCGTTGAGAGATATACTGCCCACTGGAGAGAGATATCTGCACGAGACACTAGTGAGAGATACTGACCACTATTAAGAGACATTCGCACCAAACAGTAACATGAGACATATTAGTAGACGTAGTGAGAGATAATAACCACTGGTGAGAGACAATGATGCAAAATACTGACAATATGAGATAATAATGAGAGATAGTGGGAAAGACAGTGGTGAGAAATACAAGTGGGATACTGATGAGAGATATGAACTTATGGTGAGACTTTATTCATGGTGATAGAGAGATATTTATCTATCTATCTATCTATCTATCACACTTTTTCCAAATATAATCATCCGTTGAGCCTAAATTGCAGGTTGAAGTGCCGGCAAGAATGAATCCGTGCAACACAGATCAGCTAAACTACCCACGTCATTAATTAGATCGTTAATGGGTAAACTAACAAGGCCAGGAGTGTTGCGAGTGTCAGTAACAGTGTATAAGTGTTGTGTTGTGAGTGCCATTAACAGTGTGTGTGGTGTTACAGTGTGGCGGCAGTGACGGACATTAACAGGAATGGACAAGAAGAAGCATTAGTTATTTCTTCTCCAGCTGCTGACCAATCACCCTGTTCTTCAACCATCTGGCCATCTTCCTTACCACCACGTCTACCACACACCACCTGCACCAATATCTCCCTCTCAGGTGCGTTTACCATACACCACAACCACCATACACCACCACCATAGGTATAAGTCTACCATACACATACATACTTCCCCCACCATACACCAACACCACACGGGTGAAATTCTTCCCCATTAGATATTTTATTTTTTGGTTATTCATACAATTAAGTTACACCTGAATTCTTCTATACCTTCAAGACATGATTCTTGTTGTTGTTTACTTTGTATCTGTAATAACCTGACTGAATAAACTGTTCTTTGCTGCCATCTAATATATTCTGGGTTAGGTTAGGTAAATAAACAGATATATTTCATTTACAGACTCCGTCGGTTTGGTAGCATCCCGACTCAAATGCTCGCGGTCAACACACGCTCCTTAAGGTACCAGCCAATGAAAACCCGAGTAGGATGTGCCTCGTTAACGTGATTGTTCTAGTTAGCGGCGTATGTAAGGGGTATTCATTGGTCAATTGAGGGATCCACTGACACTGTCCACTACGTCAACAGCCAATCAACTCACTTCAAATCGATGTACTGAGTTCCGCCTTTTTGTTTGTCCTTTAAGGTTCATTCAAGGCATTAGTTTACTTCACCTAGTGGATGCCTATATAATATACGGTATATAAGGCACAGTGGCTGTTTGTTTTTATGTCTGTTCGCTATATACGGCTAGTATTTTAAAGATAGCCACTTGAAATTTGGCTTGGAGATGAGCATGCACCCCAGAAGTGTCCTGAAGGTGGAACTTTAGGGGGTTGGTCTCAGTGGTCGGCCCCGCACTACCAACGATGACTCTCTTGTATAAATGGGGGGACCTGAATTTGATATCGTAGTTGATGTAGTGTAGATGATGGCGTAGTTAATACAGTATAGATCAGGGGTATATGCGGCCGGCTGAGTGGCGTCTAAATTTCGGGCTATGTGGCCGGTAAGATTGTTATTATTCCTTATATTTTGGGTGAAAATAAAAGGCAGGCATAATAAGGAAATAATCGAGAAACGACTCTCCGATTTCGATTGGCCGATATGTTCGAAAATTGATATTTCATTGGCTTAAATTTCTGTGGTGGAGGCCTAATGTGGATTTATCTTATAATTTCAGCGGGAATTAATCAAGGCTTTGTCTGCATTTTTTTGTAATTAATCCGATTAATACGTGGTTACATGCAGCTAGATATTCTAATGTATCTTTACAAAATATCTAACTAGGCTAGTGATTAATGCTATTATTTCAATGCTGAAAATAAAAGCTATGTTTAGTCTTAAATATCGGTGCTGTTTATAAAAATTTTCTGACAATAAAATATAGGTTTGCATTTCTGATTTTACATTCAATTTTGTGGAACGCAGCGCTGACATCTCTCGGCCGATCACTGATTACTTGTACCATTATGTGGCCGACTAGTGTATAAACGTCGCGGATCCCTGGTGTAGATTATAGTGTAGAACTGTAGATGATAGTAAAGTTGATGGCGTAGTATAAAGGATAGTATAGTCACGGACATAAGTTATGAGCTGACGACTTAAAACAACAAACCCCAACTTTTTCAGGACAAAACGATACATTTCATTCAGAATAAAATATTTTCCCTAGGGTCGAGGAAGCTAGCCCAATTTTCCTGGCCAACGCGTATGACTTAAACCAGACTGTCCCACCTAAGAAAATCTCCGAGAAGTTCCTTAAAATCTCGCATAATGAACGTTTTAGGTAAGTCACTTTAGTATACGTCTGAAAACTTCACTATAATTAACTGCCGAACAAATAAAGACACCTGAGAAGTCCCTTATCTTCCTACAGGTTCATCAACACCGCGGGTGGCAAGGTGAACCTGGCGACCCCGACAGTGAACCCCATCCCGGAGCAGGTCATCTGGCGACACCACCTGGACAAGGGACAGGTGTGTAATACCACCCAGCCCTTCATCCTGGCAGTAGTCCCCTCGGCACCTGGAAACAGGGAGAGGAGGCACCTGATAAGGGTCACTTGGGGTAACCTTGCTTTCTACAAACACACACAGCTCAGGTGAGAGGGTCAGGTGAGGGGACCAGGTGGAATGAGCGACAAAGACAATGTGAGCTCGACCAAAACCACACAGGGACGGCAAATGGGGGGTGACTAAAGTGTGTACTGTATGTTATTGTTTATGTATGCTTATGTGGCTGTGTAAGTGTATGTAGTAGAGTGTATGTTTTATCTAAGTTTATGTGACAGTATATGTTTGTGACTGCATTTATGTACTGTAACTCACCAATTCTCACCACTACTTCACCATTTTGTCCAATATCTCACCAATTCTAACCACCATGTCACCAATTTAACTATCATATCACCAATATCACCACCACCTCATTAATATAAGACTTACCTCCCGCGTCGTCGTCTTCTGCAGGAGGAATATCCAGAAGACCACTTCCCGCCCTTCGTGTTGGGTCCGGCGTACATAGTTGGTGGCGCCGCCCTCAGGAGACTACTGCAATACGCTCCACACACTCCCTTCCCGTGGCTGGAGGACGTGTTCCTTACTGGCCCCGTCGCCCACGCTGCAGGGGTGAAACACATCCAAGCGAGGAAAATCTGCACCATGACGCCCTCGACAGACATCATGGGTGGAGAACAAGTCTTCCTTATAGAGTCGAGGATCACCAATTGGAAGTACGCTTAGCATGGTTCAAGGGTCAGGCACAGTCAGGGACAAACGTTTGCTCCCTGTGGTGAAACTGAGTCACGGGAATGAGTCTCCGAACTGACTTAAACCTGACTGTTTCGTCTCATTTGGGGTCGATACTATTTCATTTGGGGTCCATACTGCTTCATTTGGGTTCGATACTGCTTCATTTAGGATCGATACTGCTTCGGTTTGGGAGGGAGCGAACCTTTTGACCTTGACTGTACTTGAGGTTCCTGCTTGAGGGTAGAAATATTTGGGATCAGAGTTCATTCACAAACCCACATAAAAAATATATATATTACAGTATACTGACTGGTGGACATTTTAAACACAGAATAAGAGAAGAACAAACATTCCATAATCAACTGAAGAATCTCCACCCCAGTTTATTTCACGTAAAAATTAACCACCCCAACACTTAACCTAACCTAACCTAACTTGAGATATAATAGAAAGCCAGAGTTTTTTAAAGTTCAATTTATTAGGTTAAGTGTGTGTGTGTGTGTGTGTGTGTGTGTGTGTGTGTGTGTGTGTGTGTGTGTGTGTGTGTGTGTGGTTCAAAACCTCGTAAATATTGTATTGTTATTAATGCAATAAATTTCTTATCATAGTTAATTACTATTTTTATTGTCGTTTTAAATATTATATTGTTACGTTGAAAACTAACACAAAATAACCTCCACTGATTGGTCTTCCCTCCCGTGACGTCAAAGTAAAATAACGTGTGCTTATAGGTGATGAAGACGTCAGTATAAATAAACAATACCAAACACAAAACACATAAACAAAAACAAAAACTAAGAGTATGAGAAACACAAAAAGAACAAACGAACAAAAATAAAAAAAATATTATAGAAGTAATTTGACATCCATTAGTAACTAAGAGTAAAGGAAAAAATAGACGTTAGATGAAAAAGCCGAATGCAACAATAACTACGGTAACACGTGTAGTGTACACCTGTTATCATTATACACACAGGTGTTTGACAAACTATGGATATCTGACATGAACCGGTTCGGTTTACCTGCCTCGCCACGTTGTGTGAGTGGGACTTTACAGAAAATTTCTATAACATATAACTCCTATCTTACCTTGGGAATATCTTAAAATAGGCCGAGGAAATTCACAGTTTCCCCTAATATTATTTTGAGACCCTTTCTCGTCTTGAAGTCAACTGTGTATTTAATGTTTACTGTTTATATGAGCGCCAAAAGACAACATTTCATGGGCAAAAAACTCCTGCCTTCCATACACACGAATAATCAGCAACTTTAGAATATTTTTTTTTTACAGATAATAATAAATTTTTCTTACGTTTCGAATATCCCACAAAAAATAACAAGTAAAAATATTTTAAATTTTCGTAACATCAGTTTAGCGATTTGGTCTTATTACTTTCCACACACAAGAACAACGTACAAGTTACTGCTAACCTGGAAAACTTTCACAGAGGGGAGGGGCAGCTCGGCCAATCACAATGATGTCATGGTAGAAACAGCCAATCACAATGATGTCATGGTAAAAACAACCAATCAGCAATCGTCAACTAATGAAATCCTGGGAGAAAAGCTGCGCAAAGATAAAACAAAATGACTAAGTATGCGCAGCGCTTCCCCTCCGTGTACAGCAGTCGGCAATACAGACACAGTACCTTTGTGTAGTGTGTTGGGTGTAACTAGGTGTAGGTACTCCCTAGCGTCAAGTGTATAATATTAAACTAGCCAAGTGTATATAATCCCCTTGTGCATTATAACTGTGTCCAAAGCATCTCCAGCGGATGTAGATAAGAGAACACAGCTTGGGGAGGGGGTGAGTGCACATGTCATTCTCTCGCCTCTGCACCATCATGGCACTGTGGCATAGACGAGGTGAGTCACATATATGGGCAGTAAATTTTAATATATGTGACCTAAGTGGAAGATATATATTATTATGTTTGTGTATATAGAGTACATATGTGTTAACACTAAATTGGGATTATTACCGATTAAGCCTTAAAAAAAAAACTGAATTTTTCCCGAATAGGCATCATATTTTATTTGTATTGTAACTTAACGGAAATTAATTGGAACACGGTAAAATTTGGTGTGTGTGTGTGTGTGTGTGTGTGTGTGTGTGTGTGTGTGTGTGTGTGTGTGTGTTTTCGATGAACATGTCATATTTTGTGTCCGTGTTCGTGTATTGATAGAATATACGATTTGTATACACACACACACACACGCACACATACATTAGCGGACATCTGTATTGTTTCCAGATAAGACTAGTTTGCTTTTCCATAATAATCCCTTGTGATAAGAGAGAGAAATGAAAAGCAAGGAAATCAGAGATAAGCCATTATTAAAAAAAAAATTATATCCCGTGCAGTAAGATTTTTGAGTATGTACCCTGTATGTACCTAATTACGCTACAACACAAAACTGAAGGAATCTCTCTCTAGTACCCCGTTACTAAGAACAAACTGGTGCTATCTGGAAACAATACAGATGTCCACGAATGTGTGTGTGTGTGTGTATGTACTATAATACATTCTTACACATTAACAGGAAGACATGTCCGGCCAGTGTGGACAACGGTACTGAGTGCTCTGTTGTTGTTCCTGGTTGCTTTTCTGTTGGTTCACCATTCACAAAAAATCCACAACAGCTCTAACAGGTGAGAGGTGGTGATGGGGAGGGGGAAAACAGGAACCTACCTGATTGAATGAATCTCTCTCTCTCTCTCTCTCTCTCTCTCTCACTGATAATTCACTTCCTCACTGATTCATGTATTTACTCACGCACTGAAAGGAAATTCTACCTGACCTGTCTTCCTGTTACTTATAAACTTGTGTCTTCCTGTGTACATATATATTACTATAAGTTTAAGTTCAGGGGTTCAGATTTGCCAAAGACACACATATTTCAGACTACTATACTTTAGAGGTTCAGCGGAAGACCAACCGGACCCATTAGAACCCAAGGTGGTGAGGAACTACCTGGAGGAGGAGGCAACAGAGGAAGGCGAGAACGAAAAGGCAGAGAAGGACCTGATCAGAGTCAACAGACATCAGATAACAGTTCAGGGCGACCGAGAGACAGATGATGGCATTCAAGAGACAGAAGACAACATCCATGGACACACACCACAACCTGTCTCACTCCTCACCACCGTCTACGACCCCCTCAGCCACCCAGACCGCTTTCGGTGAGACTTTTCTGTGTTAAAATAAAGACTTAACAATCTGTCCATCTGTCAATCTATTTAACAATTCATATATACAGTTTATCAGTTATATATCCATCTCACGATCTATTCACATATCTCTCATCTACCGACAGTTTCATTCACTCTCGTAAGCAGCTGAATTTGACTGGCCCCAAGACCAACCTGATCCCTGAACAGGTGAGGTGGCGCCACGACCTCACCCACGTGTGCCCTAAGAGTGACCGGCCCTTTATTCTGGCCCTCGTGGTCTCTGCCCTGAAGGAGACAGAGCGTCGAGCATTCGTTAGAGCCACCTGGGGCAACCCCGTCTGGTATCCCCACTCTAGGCTGCGGTGAGTCACTTGACGCTGCTGCAGGAGGATGTCTCACATATGTCAAAATAGCAACTACACTGTAATAGGAGGGGGAGGGTAGGTTAAGGTATGAATGTTTTAAGAATTCTAGATAGGTCTGATTTGCTTAGGTTCGGTTCATTTAGTTTTGTTTAGGTTGGGTGAATTTACGATAAGGAAGGTTAAGATCAACTAAGTTAGGTTTTGTTCGGTTAAGTTAAGTTAGGTTCCATTAAGTAAAGTTAGGGTTTGTACTTACATGTACTGTATAAGTACCTCTGTTAAGTAAGCGTTAATGATCAGAAGTAGTCTACCTGTAGTATAATTTCTAAAGTACAAATTGTAGGATCACCTAGGTAAGATATGTAACTGCAACTTAAACAGTTCACAAACAATGTCCACCTACACATTACAAGCTGCCTGTATATGATACTACAGTACTTTAAAACTATTGTTTATTCCAACATCGTTTTGACAAACTGTGAGATTCGATAGTTTTATCTACAGGCTAATATATTTTTTTCATCTCCGTCGGTGAAATATATCAGACTAACATTTAAATAGATGGTTCATTGCCTCCACCTCTTGTTTATCTTACGTTAAACATGAAAACTCCCGTGATGGAGGGTATACATGGTCTTGTAAGAGAAGTTACTGACGATGCCACGGGAGGTGTGACCTAGTTGAAATCTCCCATCTTCAAAACACCCCCTAGCTATGTGCAATTCATCAGCCTGTATGTATTTTGCATTTACCAATTGAAGATCTCTCTCTTTCTCTTTTTCACACACACACACACACACATGCCATTAGAATTTATATACGAGTGTACACCACAGCAAGTCAATCAACATCAATTGTGGAGTTCTGGGGTCATGCCAGGATACCAAAATAAATTGCATTTGTTTCATAAAAGAGCGGTGTTCGTGTTGGGAGAGACACTGGACTCTGCCTTACAAGATGCCGTTGACCAAGAGGCAGCCATACACAATGACATCATCCAGTACACCTTCATCGACTCCTACGCGTAAGTGTTTCCTCCTTTTAGAAAAAATTGCACGGTAAAGGTTAATTTCGTGATAGTTTCTGCGCTCAATATGCAAATTTATTTTAATAGTCATTAACTTTACAAGAATGCAATCAACACTTTGAAAACAAAAACACGAATAATAGGTTAAATATTTCCAGTACAAGTTTAAATTAATCCAAATTAACAATATTAAAATTTACACACACAAATAGGAACATTAAAATGTTATACAGTATTGAATACAGTATTGCTATCTTGATCTTTCTCTGAATTAAACAAGTAAGATATATTTACTATTTAGTATCAAGATTTATCCTTTAAATTATAAGTAAAAAGCATCTAAGAAAATATATAAAAATAAGAAATAAAGTACAGTGCAGTATATTAATGATTATTGTGTACGAATTTGTGTGTGTGTGTGTGTGTTACGGCTGTGATTTTTCGTCGTTTATTCAATACATTAATATATTTTAAAACTTGTGACTGGTGTTTGTCTACCATGATGGACGATGGTGGGTGTTTGTCTACCATGATGGACGATGGTGGGTGTTTGTCTACCATGATGGACGATGGTGGGTGTTTGTCTACCATGATGGACGATGGTGGGTGTTTGTCTACCATGATGGACGATAGTGGGTGTTTGTCTACCATGATGGACGATGGTGGGTGTTTGTCTACCATGATGGACGATGGTGGGTGTTTGTCTACCATGATGGACGATGGTGGGTGTTTGTCTACCATGATGGACGATGGTGGGTGTTTGTCTACCATGATGGACGATGGTGGGTGTTTGTCTACCATGATGGACGATGGTGGGTGTTTGTTTACTATGATGGATGATGATTGGCAATTGGCTGCTCAAGTCCCAAACACTCCTGCCATCACACACACATACCGCAGCAGCTCAACCTAGCCTGTTTAGTATACCAAACCTTAACTTAACCTCAACCTAACCTCACTTAACCTGGGATTTGATTTAACCTAACTTAACCTGAACTTTGACCTCAGCTATCTTAACCTGAACTTTGACTTAACCTATCGAACCCAAACTAAAACATCACAGTGGGTGAGGACGGACTTTGCTTAATTTTATCGTCTCCCTAACTTGAGGTATGTCAGAACTACTTCATCTCCTTCCAGGAATCTGACGTACAAGACGTTGTCGCTGCTGACGTGGTCGGCTTCCCATTGCCCAGATGTGCCCTTCGTTGCCAAGATTGATGACGATGTCATGGTCAACCCCTTTCACTTGTGGACTTTCTTCAAGGAGCAACTAAACAATCCACCCGAGCCCAAGGTATATAATACCAAGGGGTCCCCAACAATATCACCATCTTTAAATCCCAATTCTATTTTTCATTTTGACCACTTTCCAGTTCACTAGCCATTTTTGGCAGTTGGTCTGTTCTTTCTTATGACACTTATTGTCCAGCGTTAGAACAGGAGGAAACTGGATATCCAAACAAGACCTACGATGCTTGGTAGGGTCACACTGAATAACGCCCTTCTCATAATATGAGAAGGAATATTATCTGTCCTGGGCTGGGATTGAATACAGGACACTATCTGAGAGATACTTGCTTTACTGCTGTACCACCAACACTGACAATTTGTGCTGTATGTAAGAGGATAAATTTGAAGGAGACCTTCATGGCTAAACTACATATCTAATTATTTTACTGGTGATGTTTGTAGGGACTTCAATTCCTCAAGGCACAGTACAGGATGGCATATGCTGGTGCATACTAAGGTAGTTCTTGTTATTGCAGGGTGTGAAGGAAGGAGACGAGGTGATGGAGGTCCCTGCTGGAGCCAACAAGGCCACCACCTACATCTATGGCCGCTACGACCCTGTCCCCTACCCTCTGCGTTCTACCAAGTGGGCCGTCTCCAAAGTCAGTGACTCTCTATTTGGGTCTGTCATCTACCCATTAAATAATTTTCGCCGATGTGATTCCTCCTAGATGGAAGCAGATAACCCTAGAAGTTTTATGTTTCCTGAATGCTCTGTAGACCTTTCTTGATGGTTTCTTGATGGGCGTCCCAGAATTTCCAAAATTTGCATAGGTCATCCTGTGCTTGAAGATAGTACTCCAAGTTTACATGGATCTGTTTTTCTAATTTTTTTATTTGTCTCCCAACTGCCCTGTACTGTAGGTGGAGTACCCAGAGAAGTCCTTTCCTCCCTTCGTACATGGTCCAGCGTACGTAGTAGGAAGCGCGGCCGTACAGCAGCTGCTGAAGTACGCCCCCTACGTGCCTTTCGTCAAACTGGAGGATGTCTACACCACCGGCCTTGTCGCTCATGCCGCCGGGGTGAAACACGTCCAGATTAATGGAGTCATAAATACCTTCGTCATTAATCACAAACTCTTCAACGGCACCCAAGCCTTCCTGGAGGAGACCAGCCTGAATACAAAGAAGAAGGCTTGGGATGGCATTCTTCAGTATGCCCCTCACAATTAGTGATTGACATGACATTATGGACTCCAGTTTGCCCTTTGTTATTACTGTACTGACTAATTCCCCACGTTGTCAGGTTTGTTTTTGAGGCAAAGCTCTTAGTTTATGTCAGTGCCTGCACTCTCATCTACACTTTTAGATATTGCCTCCGGTATTCTTTCCCCAACTTGTATGTATGTATGTTTATTTGTTTTTCTTTATTTTTTGGGGCAAATCTAAAAAGAAACAATGAAGTCCATACCCCCAAAGTTCCCTTAGTATGCTTGCAAATTTTTTCTTGGACACACACAGGCTTTTATTATTAGAGATTATTGCAATGGCATACTTCAACATGACCTTCATCTTTAGGTAGGAGAGGCATACTAGTCTCAAGAATGTCCTTTAAGACTAAGAAGGCTTGTAGAAAAAAGTAGCCAGGAAAATTTTTACCTTCAAGACGTAAAGACCACCACGAACAATGGTGACCATGACAGTGGCCATTAGACCATAACGGAAGCACTGTGGTACCTACACCCAATAGGATATAACAGGAGATGTTTTTGAGACGAGAACAAATCCCTCACCTGGAAAACCCCCTGATAGTCAGTCAATATGAGGAAGATGGGCATTGAACTAACACAGACAAAAATCCCTATGAAATTTTCAAACCAAAGTATTATTTAATTTAAAAAATAATTATAGAATAAAAATAAACCCTCGCCAGTAGTTTGGAAAGTAATTTGAAAAGAATAAGATAAACCTTTCTCAGCAATGTGTAAAATGTAGTTTTAGGGAAATAAGAAATGGGTGAAAGTAGATGAGACACTTTGGTCATATAATTAGGGATGAGGTGATAATAACCAAAATATTAATGAGCAAAGTCAAGGGGGAGGAGGGGTCAGGGGAAGGCAGAGACTGGGAAGGATGAATGAAGTTAAAAACTGGATCCCCAGAGATGTACAAAACCTTAGAGGATTGGCAGAAACAGCCCAAGAATGTTTAGACTGAAGGAATGTGACCGAGAACCCTTAGATATGAGAACGGTACTCTGATTGATTGATTGATTGTGGTGACAAACTTGTGTGTCTGCATTTTCAACTCTTGTAGTTTCTACTTGCTATGGTTATTTGTGTTTAGTGATGCAAGATGAGGGTGTAGAAAGCTGTAGATGATTATGATGGGGTTTAGTGGCTGCTGGGAACGTTCTACTGATAGTTGGGTGAAAACACCAACGTCATCAAATTCTTTCACATTAAGATAAATTCTGTATCTGTAATTATATTTTTAATTCAACTTATTAATCAATTTATTACATCTAGGTTAAGACACCAAATCAGGAAATCTCTCGCCTTGAGTACAATTGCATATGTACAGTATTCTTAACTTTATATTTGTACTTGTATTTATTAATGCATAATACTATAACCATATGGGAATTACTGTACCTGCACTGTATAGCTACTTAAGTCTGTCCTTGTATTAATATTTCAGAATAAAACTTATAACTAAGTCAGGAGTGTTATGACATCAGCTACAGTGAGAAGAACTGTTGCGACATCAAAAAATAGCTAAACATAACCTTAATTTAATTCAACCTAACCTAACCAACCAAACATTATCACAGCTCATTTAATCTACACAAACAAACCAAACTTAACCTCTTGATACCAACGTTGTACAAATGAGGAACTCCAATGTACAGTTAAGTGTGATGTAATATTCCCCATGAACCATTCTCCTCCATTTCCACTTCATTAAATACTCACAATAGTACTGCACACGTACCAGAAAGTGGCAAATGAATTTTGTTCTTATATCGCTAACATGAAAACAACTGACACTGTTGACGTCTTGGTCTTTCACCAAATGATGACAAAAATATAAATGAATTTTTAACTTAATCACTAAAGAAGCTATTAGATAATGGGAACTTTGGATCACATTTTTCAAATAAATGACTTGGTGAAATACAGTAGTACAGTCCAGTAGTTTATTGTTTATACAGTATAACATTACTGTACTTACAGAGTACGAGTATTTAGTTTCCTTTTCTCCTATGTTGAAAAGAGGATTATTTAATGAAAATACCTGTACAGACATTTTCTAAATACATGATTGGTGGCACATTTTAGTTTATGAGTAATGAGACACCATATAGTATAGAAAAAACAGTATACAGTTATCATTCCATAACTTAGAGAAGTTCTTAAATTTCTATGAAGGAAATTTTTAATATATACAGTACAGTACAGTACAGTACAGTACCTGTATCTGCATTTACAAAGCCTTAAAAAATTTCCATACCTGCACACACATGATATTTCCTGATATTTAAAAAAAAATAATAAAAAAAATGGGGGGGGGAGGGTAATAATAAATCTTTGAAATGTATATGAAGTTCCTTAATTAACACAATTTAAGACTACTGTATATGGTTTCAATAGTCCTAGCAGATAATACAGTACAGTACAGTACCATTATAATATAAACTAGAATAGAATACTGTACTGTATAAATACAAAATAATACTGACTAAAATTATAAATAAATACAGGACTATACAGTTGGGTATTAGAATTATTTATCTTAACAACAACACCACATATTATAAATATTATAGCTACACTACACAAAAAATTAGACAAATATGTAATCTCTTACTTTTCTTGTTGTTCTAATAAATTCAGCTACTATACCTGAATTTTCTAAGCCATTAATTACAGTAATATTATTTTGTGCTTGTATTAAAAATTATACTGAATATTTTTTTATTTTTTTATTTTTTTTTACCCTTATCCTCTTCGCCACTGATTGGTTCGTGAGCTGCTTGGGCAGTCAGTCATGTCTCTTATATGCACTGTTGGCAAATACTGGGCATACACTGGCTCTTGAATAAATTGGAACCTGCTCCAGTGTTGGTCAAGTCTGGCCTTGAATGAGCTCACACTCGGTGCCATCACAACACTCTACAGCAGATTGTTTCAACAGTTCACAATTCTCACTTTAAGCTTATTATGTTTTTCCATTCTTAATCTGCTGTCTTATATTACTGATGGTATCTTGATTATGTCTATCAAGAGAGAGTTAAGTACATTATACAGTATCTAAACCATTTCATTGGTCTGCTGTTCCCTCAAATAAGAGACTTAAAAACAAATGTAGTTCATCAATGCAAGAAGTAGGAACATAGCCCTATTCTATTTTGAAAAAAAATAATATAAAGGATTAAATTTACATGATGGTAACAACATAATGACTTTCTATATGGGATTGTTTTCCAGATTTTATATGCTCCTCTATAAATGTTCACTATATAAAATAGCACAAATGTGTCACAAAGTAAAGTAGCAGCTATCTACTAGACCTTTGCCAAATTTGTTAGTCTTGAGGGAGTGATGCAGTACTTCTGCAGTTGACCAACTTAACTGCTACTGGTCACAGAAACTTACATTTACTTTATTGACATGAAATATAATCATTGTGTAAATCAGCTTCAGGGTCGTGCTTTACATTTGCTCGCATGGCAAATAAAGGAATTTATCACAGTTGATCTTAATCATAACAATACAGTACAGTACCAACATAAATATTTTGTTGGAAATATACAATCAAAAATATTTTTCTTAGTTTTCATACTAGGATATTTATTTTTTGGTTAAGAAATTTTCATCAGCCTGGTTGTTGTACAGGCTTCTTCTTACCATTAAAATATCTGCCATACACTGTATCTTCTTTTTTTTTTTTGAGAGTAAGATTTTACCACTCTTCAGTGTTAAAGTACTTAACATTTTATTTATACAGTTAATCCACTGAGTGGTAGAGGCTTCTCTTAGTTGAATAAATTTGTCTGGCATTAGCCAAAGTAAAATACCGAAGTGTGACACTATTCCTTAAAGGGTTAATAGTAATAGTATTGAAAAATAGTATTGAAAAATAATATTTTGATTTGTCATTGTAAACAAACAGACAATTCTATTTCTATATTTAAATTTGATACTGGTGCTGGGTAAAGATCACCAAGACCTGATCACTGACATATCACAAATACAGTATGCCTTAATTTGACCCAATGAGTCCATAAACTGATGCAATTACTCGTACATTACTACAGTATACAGGAACCTATTTAAAAGATAAATAAAGAAAAGGGGTATCTATACAGATCTATACTGGGTGTAAACCTTGCCTCCTGGACACCAGCTATGAAGGTACTGTATAATAAAACCTCAATTGGATCAAAAAAGGAGTCAAAACTTGCCCCTGATACAGCCTCACACTACATGACCGTGCTTTCTGTTTCACTCACATTTCAGTTTTCAGTTGGAAAATCTTACTGAGAATGGTGGTACAGGTATCAATGTTTTCTCCCAAGGAAAGTGGATATGTGGCCAGTGTGATAGTCCAGATTATCAACCATCATATTGGATACTGTCTCTTGCAGATGAAATATGTGACTGGTTGGTTCGATTGTATCGTATCATTGATTCATTTGTAGGTAAAAAATAAGTCACAAAAAGGACAAAACCTAATCTTACGTAAACTAACTTTATTTAGGCTTTTTAAAAAACAGAAGAAAAATTTTTATTTCCTGTGACAGTTTTCCAAGTCAAAATCATGGCTAAAGTAAAAAATAAGGTACAGTAATTTTGTTTTCCTAGTGATGGTGGTGATAGTCAAAATTTGTCAAAATGGCATTGACATTTTGTGAAGCATGTAAGCTACATGTAAAACCCCACTCCGGAGGTAACCTAATATAAGAATCTCTTCTGGCAAGTGTTCAATCACTGTGTTGCTTCACTATGAACATAACAGAGGTGTGACTTTTTTTGGAACCACCATGTTCTGTATACTGTATTTTGATATCGATTAATTAGTTTTTCTATATATTTGTGGCGAAAAGTCACCTGTCATAATTTCAAATTTCCGAGGTGGGCTACCAGTTACAAGTACTGTACTCGTACAAAACTGAAAACAAATCAACTGTACAAACATCATTTCCAGCCTGTATCTCCGGCAGACACCCACCAACACTACAACACATCAGGAGAACTCTAATGCTCCTCGACCTTCTGAGATTCATGCAGTAAATCTTTATCGTAGTCTGTATTCATACAGTATATGAAGTCATTGTATAAACAAATATTAAAGCCATGGCCTTAAAACCCTCCAGCTAAACCACAAAGGGTCCAACCAAAAATATCCAACAATCTATATTCCTTGAGCGCTGTACTGTACAACAGTAATGAGAGTATCTGTCACCACTTGTCCTGGATTAATCCCCTGCCCAGGATAGATGTAAAAATGGTGTTATCCGGTGTGACCCTACCAAACATTGCAGTTTTTCTATGGGTACTCCGATTATCTCTTGTATTAACATTGGGCATTGGAATAATAAAATTCATAACAAAAAACAGACGAATGGCCCGAATGGAGAGTAAACTGAGAAGTGGTGCAATGATAACAAATAAATGAGATACAAGGAAGGAAACAACACTACAAAGATCAAGTTTGCTGCAGCTGGAATGACCCAGGCATTGACGGGCAGCAGATCTAAACAGGCAAAGCAAACTATTGTCACCATTAAGTATGAACAGTATTTAGTAGCTCTTAAGAAAATTAAGATTACTACAGTACAGCTTAAACACAAATACCTTTTGCATGACAAACAATCTTCTAAAACAATGTGGCTCCCTCCACAACTGCATGATAAGAATCTTGAATCAACTTGTGTCCTGTAGCAAGTTATTGCATTGGCACATTATGTTCTCTCAGTCCAAGGATACCTTATTTAACATTCATAATTCACTTTGCCAGAATTCACTTTAGACTCATTATGAAGATTTTCCAACTGTGGGTAACGAAGGATGAGGACCTAAACACAGCTATCTGGGATTACTTTTTATGAAATTTAGCCTTCAACATGGAAGAAAATGTCTACAAGAACAGGGACACAGACGATACAATATACGCAGTACAGTGCAGAAAATGGAGAAAGTCACTTTATATTCCCTTGTTAACTAAGACTATCACTTTTTCTTCTTCAGAAGTTTGGTTATTCTGGAGTACTTGATGATCCCCGCCCAGGCATTCTTCTTGTTCTTCTCGCTGGCGCCGGGGTAGAAGGCCACCTTCCCTTTATACAACTGTCTTGATAATTTCTTGGTGTAGAGGATCTTCTCAACCTGGATGTGCTCAACACCTGCTGCATGGGCGACGAGGCCAGTAAGGAACACATCCTCCAGCCACAGGAAAGGAACGTAGGAGGAGTAGACAAGGAGGCGATCTATAGAATTGCGACCTATGATGTAGGCAGGACCCAACATGAAGGGTGGGAAGCGCGAGGGAGGGAACTCCTCCTGTGTCAGAAACAAGGAAGTGAATTACCGTATTTCTAAACACGGCCGCAATAAAATGTATATTATTTTTATTTAGTATTATTTTCATTAACATAGTTTTTATTATTACTACTGATATTATTATATCTTGTTTTGTTATCATAATTTTTATATTTAGTATTATTATTAATAATATTATTATAAGTAGTAGTAGTAGTACAGGTAGTATCATATTATTATTACAGTACTGTCCTATTAACTAGCTGGGGTATCCGGATTTGTTTCTGAGGGGTAGTTATCATCTACACTACAGTATATTGATTTCATTATCTACATTACATCAACAACACTATCATTAACACTAAATTAACTACAGTACCATTTACACTACATCCACTATACTAGCTACTCTAGACCAATTGCACTAACATCTACATTACACCAACTACAGTAGAAGTCCAAAAATCCGGACTGCTTGGGGATTGGGTCGGTCAGGATTTTCGGATTTTCCGGATTCTCAGGCAGTACTTTTAAAATTCAAATTTCAGGAGATATAAAGAAGAAATGAACAGGTACATTTTGATAGTTTATTCATTAGCAAATATAGCATGCTTCATTTATTAAAACAAGCAGTTTTAAAGATAAAGCTGTGAATTCTAAAATTTTATTCTTTGCCTTTTTTATATTATAAATTGTAGACTTTCCAATGTCGTATGTTTGCATTAGAACAGTATTGCTCACACCACGTTCTAGTTTCTTAATTATTTCAAGTTTGTCACTCAATTTCAACGTGTTCTTTTTTCTCTTCACACAACAAAGTTTATCTACTTTAGGAGCCATTATTATGGGCTTGTACAGTACTCTGTAAATGGAAAGAGGACTCAAAATTACATACGTTGTCACAGTTTGATTGCTCGTTTTAAAGTGGTGACCACGTGGTCGCTTGTTGTTGCTGTGCAGCTGTGGCGCTCATGCATGCACACATACACACAAAAGCCAGCTACAAAAAAACAAAAAAAAATAGAGTTTGAGTTTTCGAAAAGTCCAGATTCTCAGGTGGTCCGGATTTCTGGCATCCGGATTTTTGGACTTTTACTGTAAATTGTAACTTTAAGGTGGGGAATCAACCCTTGTGGAGCCAATCCCCTCCCCCAATTTAGACGTGTTTTTTATGCGAGAGTTCCACATTTGTGAGTGAGGGTCAGCCCCCCAAATCCCACCTTTCTGACACTTCTGGGGTGCATGTGCATCCCCCCCTACCAAATTGCAGCTGTCTATATTCAAAACTGTAGGCAGAGATCGTGAACAAACACACACTATTTGATTGAAACTTCATGACTACTATTACTATTAATGATATTATTATTCATTACTAAAAATAAAAAAAATAAAAAAATTTTAGGCTTATGTGAAGACTAGCCTCTTTCACATGATGATTAAACAACTTAATTCTACCTGAGGGAGTCAGATAAAATAGTGTTAGGGTGGTTAATCATAAGATGAAATAAGCTGGGACCTAATCATTATGTCATCCCCCCCTCCAATAAAAAAACAAAGTTAAAAAAAAATTCAAAGTTTTGAAAGAATTTAGACCACAACTGTATATTGAAATAATGAATATTATTTAGTTGTGTGATATGTGGTGAGTAAATGATATAGTTTTAATGAGGTGAATGCAGATGGAAAGACATAACTGGGCACAAAGCTCCAGACATAACAAAATATGCAGCTGTAGCCTCACTATACACCAACATATTTGCTACACAACATACTGTATTATTATTTTCCATATAATCCAGCTACTGCTACTTCCCACACACACCCACATCTACACCCACACATCCACACCCATCCACAAACACCCACTCACACACAAAGCAAAACATTACATCAAGCTCTTATACCACGCATGATCATGAAATTTGCCTAATCTGGGAAACCTGATGTGGGGAGGTGGGGTTTTGGGGCTATGGCACAGTGATTCATGTATTGGTAGAGAGATTCATGTGTGGGTGATAGTATTTATAATACAGTAGTACTGTAACAGGTGTACAGTACAGATACAGTAATTTTTATATGGATTCAGTATCATGTAAGTGGTGCCTTAACCTATTCAGAACCACCAGTACAAGTACAGATTGAGTTAAATTTGTACAGAATTAGGTATAATATACAAGTTTAGGTATGAAGTATAGGTACCGGGGAAACTTCCTCTTACCAAGTTTACCTTGGACCAATTACTTGGTAAGATGATACAAAAATAATGATACTCCTGGTGTTATAGATGCACTGTGAGCAGTTCAAGCACTCAACTCAGAATGGTCAATACTACTCCCCAAACTGGCAAGTTATAATGACTGCAGTAAGTCAGTCATATCCCAAAAATTAAAATGTAAAAAAAAAAAAAAAATGGCTGCTAACATTCACTGGCACCAGAGGGACAATTGTCCATGGAAACTGGTGAGTGGAACTTTGGGGCATAGATGGTTAGATTCTGGCCATGATGGTCAGACTGTAGGAGTGGTGGGGAATGAGTCCCTATTTGATGGTTTCTGAGTTGACACATTGCTATAAGTACCCTTCCCAGAACAAAAACAAAAATAAAAAAAGGGAAAAAACGACAAACACACAACTTGCCTTACTAACAGCCCACTTGCCGTTCCTGAGAGCCGGTGAATTGGACCTCAAATGTCCATGAATAGCGCTGAGTGATTTGTTCTTAGTTACATGCGTCTGTAAGTAAGCGACTAGATGTAAGGGATTGACAACTACATCGTCATCAATCTTAGCGATGAAGGGAGTGTCGAGGCACCAGTTCTTCACCCATGACAACATCGAGATGGTCTTATAGGTCAAATTCCTGCAAAGGGGGTCAGCTGGTAATGGTGAAGGATGGCAGAGAGGACAGAGAAGATATGTACACGTCAAAGAACTATTACTGTACCCATAAAGGTTAGAAAGGCATCACTGTACCTGTAAGTGTCTAAAAAATCGTTCTGGATTATATCATGGTGAGCGTCCATCTCTAAGTTGACTTCATCCTGTAGTGTAAAGTTGTCGGTGGCCCCCAGGACGAAGATGGCCCTGTAGGTGACACCAAAACCTCAGCCACCTCACGCCAATCTCTCTCACCAAATTTAGTTGATGACTAATGTATGAACTAGTCTAGAATCATGCCCTGAAAGACCTTATTAATTGAAGCACAGGAATACATTATAACATCAACATATTTCTCTCATTCTTGAATATAACTTATCTCCCTATCACAGGTTAACTATATACTAACCTGACACATATACCCCTTTTTCTTAGTTTAACTGTATATTTACATGTAATTCGTTGCTCATTTGTCTTCTGTCATTATTTTTTCCCATATTTATTAATCCAATTACCTGTATAGTGTTTTTTGGACCCCCTTATGAGCGAGAAACTGGTCTGTTTTTATTACATCTCTTTGACATGTTTCTCTAGTATTATGTATACTTACACACACACACACAGGATGATAAGCAGGAAGCAGACACCCTAAATGAATACAGTACTTCCTTCATACACGAGAAACTGGATAACATGCAAGTACTAAGGAGGATACATACTGGACCTTATGGCTGAAAATGAGTAAAGAGAGATAACAGTCACAGTCAAGAAAAAGAAAACCAGCCTGAAGAATTCAAAGTGGACAGAGTATAGATCAAGCTGATAAAAGGGGTAGTTAAGCAGATATGCAATGCATTAAGAATAATATTCAGAAAATCACTGGGTCAAGGAAATTTATCAAGTTACAGGAAGTCAGCCAGGATCAATCCAAGAAGAGTAGACAGAGTGAAGCAGAAATTTTTAGGCCAAACTCTTTGAATAAAATCTGAGGGATGCCGTCACCATCCAACACTGGACACAGCACAGATGTCTGACAAATTTGCTAACATTCCTTGAAATGGTAATACAGTATCTAATATACTATAGGACTAGGCATGTGTCTGTCTGTCTGTCTGTCTGTCTGTCTGTCTGTTTGTGTGTGTGTGTGCCTGTTCTGGGAAGCCAAAACGGCACAATCGTTTTTCATCAAACTTGGTGGAAAAATCCCAACAAATTCGTAGAGTGGAACAAACCTGGTCCCATGTCGATGGTCTCTTTAGGAAGGCATTAATTAACAATTTTATTTACGATGGAAAACGATGCAAGTCTACGGACTTGGCGCACCTTAATTAGCCATGCAAGTCTACGGACTTGGCGCACCCTCATTCGCTGTACGCTGTTACGAGCATTAAAACTTTCACAAGGGCACGAATGGCCCGCGATCACTTGTAGCTACTATAAGAGTCCAGATTTACCAGTGGCTGTGTTGTACATGGATTTTGTCTAAGGCGTTCAAAAAAGTTCCACACACACACACACTTAACCTCTAAGATCCAGGCACATGACACAAGAGACAAAATATTGGGATGGGTCAAAAATATATTGAGCCATGTAAATTAGTTTGCATAGTAGATGATACAAAAATTTATGGGAATGTCAGGAAAACATTCATTCATGCAAAATGAGTTGAGTCAACTTATCAGGTGGTCACACGACTGACCAATGCTTTTAGAAATAACAAGATATAAGACTGCATGTAGGGCAAAATAAACCCAAACATAGCTACTCTAGAAAGAACACTTTCCTGGCACCTATGATAAAGAATAGATCTAAACATCGTGATAAACCAATCACTGACAGCAGCACAGCAGGTGGTGTGGAGGCAGTGGTGAAGAAAATCAACCAAACTCTAGGGATCATACATTGAACCTTTTAAAGTCAAAATAAGAAAATACTCTCTAAACTCTATAGGTCTCTTGCATGTTCCCAAACTGTAAACAAGCATGGAGACCACACCTTCAAAAAGATAAACATCAGTAGAAAATGTGTAACACAGAGTGCCTAGAATTATTCCTGAAATATGTCATCTCAATAATCCAAGTAGTAGACTGATGGTTTTGGAACTGAAAACTCTTCAAAAATGACACGACAGGGCAGACCTCAAGGATATTTAAAATCCTGAAAGGGATCAAAGACGTAAACCCAGATCACTTCTTTAAAATGTCAAACGATACAAACACAATTCACAGCTTCAAGAGCTCGCCAAATTGTAACACAAAACTAAATAAGGAAGTACTTCTTCACTCAGTGCATGGAAAACTTATGAAATAGTCTACTATAGTATTTCCATGCTAACCTGGCCCATAAGCCACGCCCCTTTTCTATACTAATACCCGGTTGGTTCATAGAAAAATTTAACTAAATATGTTCACAATTGGTAAAGAGACTTGTTATTATCTAAACTAATGTTAAATATCGGGACTATCAAAATGCAAATGATTTCAAGGCATTAGCACTTCAGAGAGGATGTTAGAAAATTTTAAATATTATCATAAAAGGTCGATATAAATACGCACTTATATAAACGCAGTCCGGAGGGAGGTAAAACGCTCAGGGAAACCAATCAGCTATTTGTAGCTATGGACAATGGGCGTGGTTACAGGCTAGCTTAGTGTGGAAAGGGTATACGTAGTTGAAGTTGTGGAAGTGAGAACAATACTAGTAGTTGGTTTCAAAACAGTCCTGGGCAAGACCATCATGATATATGGGGGGAACGTATACAGACCAACTTTCTTCCTCCCCTTAGCTGTGGTGGCTGTCAGATAAATACTGCATAATGGAAGACCACTAACCGCATCTTGGTGTAAGGATAAAGGCCAGGATGGGCCCAGGTGTTCCTGATGCCTTCTCTCTCTTTGAAGTGGTGGACGGCAGAGGGCACAATAGCCAGGACGAAGGGGTTGCTACCATTACACACAGGGTCCACCTCCTCCATTAGATCTTCCAGCCAATTCACCTCATCAGGGATGGGATTGATGGTCGGCCCAGTCAAATTGATGTCTTCTCTCACCTTGATGAACCTGGGAGTGGACCACTGGGGTGAGAGGGAGGGAGGGAAGGAGGGAGGGATCTCTCTCTCAGGGAAGCTACATACTGTATTGACAGGATAGCGTCATTTAACCCTAACATAAAAATCTAAACTGATGAAAAAAATTATTTGTTTTAGGTCATTATTTCGTGAAGTGTATAGAAAAAATATTATATATCAGAAGGTATGTCATTATATATTTAAATATAATCAACCTCTGACAACAAAATTTAAAGCAGGAATTCTAAATTTTGGAGAGATTACATCCCGTCAATGAGTAAAAAACTACCCATGCCCAACAAACTGACCAACCAGAGTAGAGCACACTCAGTAATAATACCTGCACACAAAACAAAAAACCATCATGATTGGTTACTTATGAATGATGTAGTGATTGACTTTGCTATGTACTGAGGCTGTGAGTAACTGACATCTCAAATAGAAGAGTCTGACAGGTGAAGACTTATCTGTAGGAGAACCTGACTTATGAAGACTTATCTGTAGGAGAACCTGACTTATGAAGACTTATCTGTAGGAGAACCTGACTTATGAAGACTTATCTGTAGGAGAACCTGACTTATGAAGACTTATCTGTAGGAGAACCTGACTTATAAAGACTTATCTGTAGGAGAACCTGACTTATGAAGACTTATCTGTAGGAGAACCTGACTTATAAAGACTTATCTGTAGGAGAACCTGACTTATGAAGACTTATCTGTAGGAGAACCTGACTTATGAAGACTTACTTATAAGATAGTTGGATGGGCCTGAGGCGTGGTTTACTTTGTAGTAAGATGCAGATGATCACGATAAACGCCAGCATACACACAGACAGCCCCGTCAGAATCCGTAACATCACTATTGTCTGCCAACAACAAAGAGTTAACAGCAACGCCACTCAGCCAATCAACCATTGACACCCCCACCACTGTAGACACATAACGTAATGCATCACGTGATTTCGTGATCGCCGCCAACTTGAGGAACAAGAAATACCGTAATTCGGTAAAATTGGAGTTTTGTCAGCAATGGGGAAGTTTTGTATAGGTTCAAACTATTCTAATCATTCAGAAAGAGAAAAAAATTAGAAGTTTCTATGGTATACCAGCTGTTATTGTTCATTATGATAAAAAAAAATAAAAAATTAAGCCAGAAACGACGAGAAAAGTGACTGTCCAAAATTTGAACAACAATCAATACACCAGTTAAACACAACAATGCTAGAGTATGCAGCGATCATTTTGTTACTGGTAAGGAGTCTCTTCATATACTTCATATGGCATTTTCTGATGTAAAAGGCATTACAGTTTGGCCATGAAAGTTTTTTAGCTTTTAAGGATTCAAAACATGCAATCCTCACACAAACTTATTCAAATCTTTTTTAACCTTAAATAAACCCATGAGAGAAATTAAAATTTCTAGTTGATGTATGAATTACGATATGAAAATGAAAGACAGCACTTGCCCATATTTTAATATTCTCATCTGCTCTAAGGTTGAGAAATGAGGTGCAAAACTGTGTATAAATCAGAATAACACTGTGATAATATGCAAAGTGGAGTGTGAGTGAAAGACAGATTGGAGCAGATAGACAGAAGGTGAGAGAGCAAGGCCCATTTTACATTTGCTTCCACGATGTTTTTAAGGAGACATTAACTGTAAAACTGTGTATAAGATCATGAATAAAAAGCCACTGAATAATATGCAGGGCAGGGAGAGAGAATGAAAGACAGAAGGGAAAAAAGGAGACAACACAACAAGTAAAGAAAAAGAAACAAAAAGAAGAAAAAAGAATACAGGTAATGACAAAGAAGAGAGAAGGGGGTGGAAATGTGAATGTTTCATTGATGACAGCAACGTGCAAATATTTCTTGGCACACAGGTGACCCTCCTCTCAGTGTTCATTATCTTGGCTTAGAGAATTTGTGAGGTGTGGGAGCAGTCACCTGTCTGATATCCCAAGCTGTGCCCTGTGGGTACACCCTCAACCCATGAAGAACATCCTATGCCCTTGAAGAACATCTTATGCTTTTGAAGAACATCTTATGCCCTTGAAGAACACCCTTTGCCTCTGAACACCCTATGTTCCTAACAAATACCTTATGCCCTTGAAGAGTACCCTATGACCCTGAAAAACATCACATGCCCTAGAAGAGCACTCTATGCCCTTGAAGAATATTCTAAGCACTTGAGAGCACACACTATGCTCTTGAAAAACATCCCATGACCTTTAGGAGCACACTATACCCCTGAAGAACATCATATGCCCTTGAAGAATATTCTATGCCCCTGAAGAACACCTTCTATTCCTGAAGAACATCGTAAGGCTCTGAAACACATCTTATACCCCCTTAAAGAATGTCTTATGCCCCTGGAGAAAATTCTATGCCCCTGAAGAACCTCCTAAGACCTTATTAATCTGCACTACCTTGAAAAATAAATCATAAATATTATATATGCTTTACTCTGTTAATACAGTATTAAACATGCCTAAAATATTATTCAATTGATATCTTAAAATCAAATTAGTTTCCTCAAACCATTTTTAATCAAATTACCAAAAATATATCGATTACAGGAAGAATTTGGTGATTGGTATACTGTACTGAGAAGTTTACATTTATGTTTTAGTTAGTTTTTCAATGTAAATTATACCAACAAATTATGGGAAGCATATTTGTGATTTAACTCACAATATAACTAGAATACAGAATCCAATCCTTTACATATATTATATATATCTATACAAAATGAATGATGACTAGGTTTAATCAGACTAACATAGCCTACAGTAAAGAGTTCAGATTACCATTAAATGCTCAATAAACTGAACTGTGCCATAATTCAGTATTGCAAGGTATCATTTTAAACAGCTGTTAAATTACATATTTCCAGCTATTATTAAAAATAATTATGATAATAATACAGGTAATAAGGAAGAAAAGGAGAGCATAAGGTTAGATTTCCCCCAGTACTGTATCTTCCGCTACTATGGGTATAGTAATCATATACATCTATCGTGGATATTAATCACTTTCACTTTCTATATTACTGTACTGTACCAATTTCTAGGTAAAGGAGGAGGAAGCATCTCTCCAAGTGTTTAACAATACTGTATGGCCCTAAAGCTTACCTGGCAAAATAATGATGATGGTGTGGCTTCCCAACCCAGACGACTGATTTCCTTTCTTTTGTGATATGCTGGAAACCTGTGCATGTTAAATCTGATCTATTGCTGCATCCAAATGCACAACATTCCGGCATAATGTAAAAAAAAATCACTTATCAATCCATCCAAAGTAATGGTCACATGTTAACTGATGTGCGCAAATGGCAACAAAGTGGAGTCCAGTGACCATATTATCTCATTTCCCGGGACCCTTCATGTTGCTCTCAGTATATAGAAATTCTAGATTAGGTTAGGCTGTTTAATATTTCCGTTCATATGGAAAGGTTGCTGGAAAGGATTTGTCAAAAGTACAATCACCAACATTGCAATTTCTCCACCAAATTTGGTTCATCTTTAAGGTTTTGTAAACAAATTTTTCAGTAGATGCTTTGTGTTAGGTGGCTGGTTAACCTGGGCCCCTTGTTCTGAACTGTTACAATTATATCACACAGCATAAAAAATAAAATATTATGTACAAATAGATAAACAACTTGTTAGAGAAATAGGTGTATACGTACATAGAAATATTGACGAACACAGATACAGATTCAAACAGACAGCTAAATAGATAGATAGACTCAAAGACACAGAGATATAGAAAAAGATAGATAGATGGATTTAAATAAATAGAAACGTACAGTAGTTTTTGTTTGGCTACTAACCTATTTCATTCACTTCTACCTACTGTATAACTCTTAAATACCTCCAGGAATATTTGACACTTTTAACTGGCATTCCACTCCACCCTCTCAAATACTGCCCAGCAATAGATGTATTTTCTCTATCTTTCCACTTGTATATCTAACCAACCATATTCTGGTTCACTGAGTTTATACTGTACACTAACATCTCCTGAACACAGTCAACATTTTGGATGCTTAACATAGTGAGTATTGCCCCATACAAAATATGATTACACACAGATTGATTTGTTGTGTTGACATAAGTATATTATCATCTAGGCGGCCAGGTATCCAAATATTAATTTTTAATTATATTCTTTTGTTTGTGGAATTCAATAAATTATTTGGCCCTGAAAATTTTTTTTTAATTTATTTGTGTATTATCATCTCCATAATCCTGGCACGACGAAGTTAGTTACAGTCTAACTTTTCTGAATCTGGAAAAGATATAAATAACCCAACCTGTCCTAACTTAGCATAATATAACCTCACCTGACCCAACCAAACCTACAGTGATGTCCTCTAATTTAAACTAATCTAACCTACAGCTACCATGGGTGGAGTAAGTCACGCCCTCCTTGTGGAAATGGTAAAATCTCCACCATTTTGGGTAGATGAGGCTAGGTTAGAAAATTCACAATAATATTCCAACAGTTTGTTGGGTGGGGATGTCTACAGTCGTTCCAGGACCTTCTAGTTTAAACGAGTTTAAACATGTAAACGGGGCCTTACTTTTACTTTCAGAAGTGTGGGGAGTAAGAAGATGAATGACACTAAACGTAGATAGTGGCACTACATGGAGAGAGAAGCACTCTATAGAGAGAGTGGTACTGGCGGCTCCTGATGCCTTGCTTATCTGATACTGTACTACGGTAGATCATAACTCATAGCAACCAGCTGGACCACCCAAATGAATACTTATCTCTCACAGATAAACAGGTGTTGATAACACAATCATATTAGTTGATATTAAGCAACTGGGCAAAGATCGTGGTGTTTCAGGTAACCAAGAAGGGTGTTTGAGGAGACCAAGAGTTTATAGTCTTGGGTAAATCAGGTGACCAAGAGGTTATGGTCTTGGGTGTTTCAAGTGACCAAGAGGTTATAGTCTTGGGTATTTGAGGAGACCAAGATCTTAGGTAGTCTTGTCTGTCTCAGGTTTTCAAAAGTCTTTGGGTATCTCAGATTTTAACATTTAAAAAATATGGAAATTTTAAAATGTATTCTGCTTCTATACCTTGCTGGATGTTCATGGAAACTGAACCTTAATAAATATGAACCAATAAATAAATAGGAGATAAATAAGGAGGTTCTGTGGTTTGAGGTGAACTACCACGTAAATCAATCTTTATAAATTTTAATAAGAAACAAGAATAAAGCATTCTACATTATGTTCCATTTAAGTGGAACCATAATGAATAATCATTAATTAAATTTTTTGCAAGTTTGAGGGTTAATTAGCAGCACCATTATATAAAGACAGCTGCATGGTGAAGTTGTCTAAAATTAAAATGACTGGATCTGGTAACCTAGCGAATGGGTAATAAAGATTGAAAAGGTTATTAGTACTTTCATTACAACATGTGCTTGATAAGTTCATGAAGTTTATTCAACAAAGTTTCACTCATTTTTAATTTGGATAACAACTTCATCTTGCACTTGTCTTTGGATAACCGCATTATCTTTAATTAACACTCAAAAATACTAAAGAAACTAATTATTCATAATTTCATATGGTTTCATTAAAATGGAAAACCCTTAACAATACTGTAATTAATTATATAAACACTATTAACAAATTAGAAAACAATAGGCTGATAATATATAAGATTGATGAAGATACTTACCATTAAAATACAATGACATACTGTACAATGTCAAGGTCCCTTTATGAGAATACCTCAAATATGATTGAAAAATGTTTCTATTTACACCACAGCTTCCCACCTTCTGTATTTAAGATATTTTTACAGTATACTGTACAGTTCCTAATTTTACTCAGGTTTTCTTCATTATGTTAGGTTTTGGTAATGTTTGGTTTGGTCTACTGTTCCTGCACTGTCAATAAGAGATGAGGAAATTTTGGCAATGCCATTCTCCCATGCTTGCAAACACCACTGCTTCCCACCACACAATTGTCTCTGGTTTATTTGTGTTTATATACTTTAGGTAATTTTTACAATAAACATAATAATGATTGGGTATTTTTTTAATATTTCACCCAAGAACTTAACAATAATTAATTTGAACAAAGAAGTTTGTGAAGACACTAGCAGTCAGAAGAGCTGCTCTGCAGACATGACCTGCAGACATGACCTGCATTATCTATGCTAAGGGAACTCACTGAAGTTGTAATGTGTTTCACTGTTGTATTGCTATCTAATAAGAACGTAAGAATGGAGGAAACTGTAGCAGGCCTATTGGCCCATATTGGGAAGTCCCGTTTACACTCAACCCGTCGCTCATATATCCATCCAACCTATGTAAACGGGGCCTTACTTTTATTTTCAGAAGTGTGGGGAGTAAGATGAATGACACTAAATTGTGACACTAAACGTAGATAGTGGCACTACATGGAGAGAGAAGCACTCTATAGAGAGAGTGGTACTGGCGGCTCCTGATGCCTTGCTTATCTGATACTGTACTACGGTAGATCGTAACTCATAGCAACCAGCTGGACCACCCAAATGAATACTTATCTCTCACAGATAAACAGGTATTGATAACACATTCATATTAGCTGAAATTAAGCAGCTGGGCAAGGATCGTGGTGTTTCAGGTAACCAAGAAGGGTGTTTGAGGAGACCAAGAGTTTATAGTCTTGGGTAAATCAGGTGACCAAGAGGTTATGTTCTTGGGTGTTTCAAGGGACCAAGAGGTTATAGTCTTGGGTGTTTGAGGAGACCAAGATCTTAGGTAGTCTTGTCTGTCTCAGGTTTTCAAAAGTCTTTGGGTATCTCAGATTTTAACATTTAAAAAATATGGAAATTTTAAAATGTATTCTGTTTCTATACCTTGCTGGATGTTCATGGAAACTGAACCTTAATAAATATGAACCAATAAATAAATAGGAGACAAATAAGGAGGTTCTGTGGTTTGAGGTGAACTACCACGTAAATCAATCTTTATAAATTTTAATAAGAAACAAGAATAAAGCATTCTACATTATGTTCCATTTAAGTGGAACCATAATGAATAATCATTAATTAAATTTTTTGCAAGTTTGAGGGTTAATTAGCAGCACCATTATATAAAGACAGCTGCATGGTGAAGTTGTCTAAAATTAAAATGACTGGATCTGGTAACCTAGCGAATGGGTAATAAAGATTGAAAAGGTTATTAGTACTTTCATTACAACATGTGCTTGATAAGTTCATGAAGTTTATTCAACAAAGTTTCACTCATTTTTAATTTGGATAACAACTTCATCTTGCACTTGTCTTTGGATAACCGCATTATCTTTAATTAACACTCAAAAATACTAAAGAAACTAATTATTCATAATTTCATATGGTTTCATTAAAATGGAAAACCCTTAACAATACTGTAATTAATTATATAAACACTATTAACAAATTAGAAAACAATAGGCTGATAATATATAAGATTGATGGTAAGATACTTACCATTAAAATACAATGACATACTGTACAATGTCAAGGTCCCTTTATGAGAATACCTCAAATATGATTGAAAAATGTTTCTATTTACACCACAGCTTCCCACCTTCTGTATTTAAGATATTTTTACAGTATACTGTACAGTTCCTAATTTTACTCAGGTTTTCTTCATTATGTTAGGTTTTGGTAATGTTTGGTTTGGTCTACTGTTCCTGCACTGTCAATAAGAGATGAGGAAATTTTGGCAATGCCATTCTCCCATGCTTGCAAACACCACTGCTTCCCACCACACAATTGTCTCTGGTTTATTTGTGTTTATATACTTTAGGTAATTTTTACAATAAACATAATAATGATTGGGTATTTTTTTAATATTTCACCCAAGAACTTAACAATAATTAATTTGAACAAAGAAGTTTGTGAAGACACTAGCAGTCAGAAGAGCTGCTCTGCAGACATGACCTGCAGACATGACCTGCATTATCTATGCTAAGGGAACTCACTGAAGTTGTAATGTGTTTCACTGTTGTATTGCTATCTAATAAGAACGTAAGAATGGAGGAAACTGTAGCAGGCCTATTGGCCCATATTGGGAAGTCCCGTTTACACTCAACCCCTGTCGCTCATATATCCATCCAACCTATGTTTGAAGCTATCCAGCATATTAGAGTTAATGATGATGTTTGGTAACTTGTTCCACTCATCCACTACTCTATTTCCAAAGCAATGTTTACCTATCTCAAGCCTAAATCTAAATTTGTCTAATTTAAAACCATTGCTACGAGTTCACTCCTGGTTGGATAGTTTGAGTACCTTTATTTTAACATCTTTGTTTAGCCCTGAGTTCCATTTATACACCTTGATCATATCGCTCCTCACTGTACTCATCTTAAGGGAGTGCAAATTAAGATGCTTTAACGGTTTAACCTGTCTCTGTACTCAAGGTTTCTAATGCCTGCGATTAGTCTTGTCATTCTCCTCTGAAGCCCTCTTCAGTGTTTCCTCACAAGATCATACACAAAGAAAATAAGGAAAACAATTACCTTGGATATAGTACATAATTGGAGTTTTTAAGGTGGTTTGATGTTGGTGTGTGAACTGTTAACATTGGTGTCATTCTATGCTAGCCTCCCACCATGGTAAGTTCTATTTGGGATAATGTTGAGAAAATTATGGCCAATACTCATGTGTTATATTCCTTGGTACCATCTTACTTTAGATGGACAAACAGAACTGGCAAGGAGAGTAAGTTTCAACACCCTCATTTGCCATTTTTAAGTTATTTGTCTGACTTTAAAATTATTTTTATGTCTTTTGGCTGACAAATTTTGCCCTAGAACCTAAGCCCCACATTTACAGTACATTAGGTTTTTGAAAATTGTATTCACATACAGTAGTGGAGTTTTGTTTAAAATACATTTTTCAGGAATGCATTCATAACAATAAGTGGGAACCCCCTGTACTGTGTGGGAAAACTTGGTCACTATTACTTAGGATGGTTTTGCTTCATAATTTTATAAAATTTTTGACACTGCTAATATGTACTGTAGGTGCGACATAAGACATCAGCTTGTAAGATCAAGGTTTTACTACAGCCTTACCAAAGTTCTCCCCATCAAAGAGGCCAATGAAGGCAATTGGCATCTTGTCAAATCCCTGAACAACTGTCTCTCTGTACTTAAGCTTGCCCTGTAAAGAGAATATACGAATTACAGTACAATTGAAAATTTTAAATCACTTAAGATTTCTACATACCTTGTACAGGGTACTGCACTTTTAGTATATTAATAATTGGTAAACATTTATATAATAAATAAAAATTAATTGCATATGTACAATCATCCAACGATGTGATGTCACAGTTTCTGGGACATTTAAATAAGAAAGTGGTATCTGGCAACTACCAAACTCAATTATTTTTGCTTTTATTTTTTTGAGGTGCAAAGCAATTTTGTGAAAGAGTAACAGATTCACTTACCTCTTGTATCCATTGTATCATCTGCTTGAAACCCTCAGATGAGCGATCCTTCCAGCGGAAAACTAAAAATCCCTCGACCTTTAGTTCTTTCCATATTAAAGTAGCTTCGCTGAATGGACCTATAAAATTTTAAAACATAAATTACAGTAGAATAGTTTTTTTTACACTACGTATCTTAAATAATGTACTATAATAACATGGACATTTTAATTTAACTGCTATAGGTTCAATAATATGATTTTCTTTTGTACTATAATGAGAATTTATTGCAGTCACAGTGTGAATAATGTACATTGTTGAAACCGTGCTCGAGGTAAACTCCACAGTACTGTACAGTAATTAAATATATTTCACTCATCAGGAGCCAGAAAGTGATGAAAACTACAAATTATACGTAGTGCATTATTAGTGATTGCTCCTAGTGGCTATAATTTAATGATAGTGAGATGCTCAATGTACACTGTCCTCAGATCATGTCATGAAAAAAAATAAATAAAATGAGTAATACAGGTATATACTGTAGACATCTCACCCCTATAAATAAACTAAAAAACATTATGTCCAAATTTCAGGTTCCTAGAAGGCAAACAAATGGAGCAACCACTGAGTAACCCACTTTTGGAACTTGTATCCCCTGGGTTTTATGTCACCTGGAGATTGATTGGGGGGTTATACTGTACTATAATTTTCCTTAGTTTTATTTGAGGGAGACTGAGGTGAATATCCAATACTTAAACAGTTTCCATCTGTTAATTCTATGCTGGGTGAGAATTTCTTGGATTTGAACATTAATCAGCAGAAAATGATATCTAGACTTAGAATCTGTCAGCATTACCAAAAAATAGATTTTTCCTTTGGGAATCTTTAACTCTCAAGTCCTAACCATGTATGGAGGATGTTTGGCTATGACTGTCCTACTCAGCCTAGCTACATATGCTGTACAAACTTATTATTCCCACCCCACTTCGAAAGTTACCATTTATCACCAGAAGACACACATTACCCTCAAAGTTTCACAATTGTTGCCAGGGTGACAGAGAGAAGCATGACCTCATGACAATGGCCCAAATTATCTTATTGAAGCATAATGGGCCTCCTGTATACTATAAATAATGAAAGTTTCTCTTGCTTTTGACTCTTTGTGTCTTTTAACATAACGTAAGATGAATTAATAAGGTCAAAGTTGTTTATTTTAGGAAAAAAAGCTGTAGGATAAGGGTGACTGCACAATGTTACCTGGGCTATGACAAAAGGGGTTAAATAAAGGCAGATCTTCAAATATCTAGAACCTACTATTCAGGGAGCCAGGAGAATATATGTCCTTGCTGTCATCATTGTATGTGGAGATAGCACCACATACCGCCACTCGGCCATAATTTGCCATGAAGGGCAGTGCCTCAGCAGTAAACTGTCCACCAACCTAAAAATAAATACTCCATTATGTTAAAGAACACTAATTATACTGTATATGAAGCACATGCATGGAGCAAACATGTTAAGAAAACATAGGCTTTGAGTACGTATTTTGTCTCAATTAACAAAATGTAAGAACAAGGAGTGGAATAACACATAGCTACCCAAAGAAACATTCTTTTGAGTCACTATACCAGTCAACTATAAAGTGCAAATACATCCTAAAGTCAGTAGTCAATTAAAAAGTCAATGATCTGTTTTCTTGGCCACACAAACGGATGCCATGCCTCAATCCTCTGTTTTTCTTTAAAAATTAGTTATGTATCTTAGGTAATATTTCAAATACCTGTATACAAAATTATTTGATCTTTCCCATACATTCCCAGTCTTTCTATCTCTTTTACATTTTATTTAGTATCTAAACTTACATTGTCAAAGAAACAATTGATCTTCTCGGGAGCTGCCTGGCTGAGAGCCTCCCCAATATTTGTTGTCTTGTAGTTGAAAGCATAGTCAGCCCCAAGTTCCTTGACCCAGGCAACCTTTTCATCAGAGCCAGCAAAAGCAATCACTTTACATCCTAGGGATAAATATAAATAAATCAGCACTTCCAAGATAACAATCTTCTCCACAACAAAACTACAACTTTATGACACTTTTTTGTCACCACCTTAATAGATCACATACAGTATGGTTAACCAATATTTTTAGAGTTTTGGATGAAAAGCTTTGGTCATGTATGCAATGATGAGCTTTTGAAGAGAGAAAACTAATTAGAATAATTAGAGTTACAGTAAGTGTCCTGTTAACTCCTCTCTATGTATTTTATCTTTGTTCTAACCTTTGATCTTGGCTATTTGCACCACAGCACTACCCACAGCTCCAGCAGCTCCATTTACGAGCACAGTGTTCCCTTCTTTAGGCTGGCAAAGCTCCAGAAATCCAAAATATGCAGTATTTCTAAGTGAAAAATTGTGACATGCTGTTAACATACTATTACACATAAATTATCTAAGATTATGATACAGTATTTATGTGTACAGTAGAACTTCAAAAATCTGTTGTGGTGTAGCACTCAAAGTCAGTGATTGGCCAAAATGCTGAATAATCAAGACTGCACTTGTGAAGGAGAGGAGTTTTAGAGATTGAATAGTACCTAAGGTGAACATTGATGGCTTGAACATCCTGTGCAAATGATAACAAATAACAGAATTTCAATACTGTATCTCTTCTGGTACATTTGAATTGACACAAATATTAATGATAAGCAATATACAATGAAAAATGGGTAGTTAAAGAGGATGACATAAGAAGACCCAATTGAGCTGAAATAGCAATGGTTAAATGTATGTGTAATGTGACATTAAGAGATAAGAAACCCTGTTTATAGCTAAGAGGGCAGCTGGGTATTGAGAATATTGATGAGGTTTTCCATAGAGAGAGGGTGAGATGGTTTGGGGATGTTGAAAGAATGGAGGAGATCAATTGGGACAAGAGATGCATGAGTTTGAATGTGGAGGGGAGGAGAACTAGTGGTAAGCCAAGAATGACATTGAAGATGTTGTGAGTTATGACTTACGAGATAATCACCTGATGAGAGAGGCTACAAGAGACTGTGTAGCCTGGAGAGTTATCATCACGTAATCACAGCTAACCCATACAAGTGTGGAGAGCGGCCATAAAACAATGATGATGATGATGAAATAGAATGTAACTAGTTCGTTTAACAAGGTTTATATTTAGGCTTAGTTCAAATTACAGTAATTGGAACTATGTATTTGCAATGGGCAAGGAATTGTAATGGCCATGATGCGAGAGGTATAGTAATGAAGTTCTACTGTACATGAAAAATTTTTGCCATAAATATTGTAATTCCAATATTCCAAAGGATTACAGTAAGTGCCAAGAACTAGTGACATACATCGAATGATTCATTATACAATATCAAAGAGGGTGGTAAAACTAATTTTAAATTTACAGAACATCTCAAAATTGGATCTTAAGGAGAAAAAATAAACATTGCCACCACAGTAGACAATCATCTTGCCCATTGGATATGCCAGGAACAAAGAAGGGCAGCTGAGTCGCCCCATTATTACATTATACAAGTTCCTTATGAGGGGTGTTGATCATACAATAAAATCTGATTTATTCTGCATGAAATTTGTACTCAACTTATACAACAAGTAAAACTTACTCTACACTTACCCAGGCATGCCCACAAGGCCAACACAAAGACTTATTGGAAGGGTCCCCATATCTGGTAATGGCCACATCCATTTGTCATCAGGCTGCAGTTTATCGGATGGAATATGAGTGTGTGTCCGCCAACCACTGTAGACCACCATACAAGATCCAACTGGCCACTGAGGATTTTTGCTTTCTATTACCCTAAAAATGTGTAAAAAAAAAAAAAAATGGGTACGGGTAACTGAAATACGAAATTGATTTTGTAGCTTAGGGGAAGAGACAAGTTATTTGTAATACTGTACTTGTGGAGGCACAACTTACTGTAAATAGAAAATTGTCCCTAATTTATCAACAATGATTCATCACAATAAGACAAACAGAACTGGTAATGGTGTTTCTTTCTGCTTTTACAACTACTGTACAGTAAGTAAACTGTAAATATAAAAAGGACTGTAAAAATGTTTGTCCAGGTTTTACAAGTATCTTCCCACCCAGTTGCTTGTACAGTACATATAACATTGGAAGAATGCCAGTGTTGTCTCCTGATAGGCACAACTCGATGATGAAATGCACTCAGTTTCTGGCCAATGAATATGCTGTAATAACGAGTCTCTTCTGTAATTCAAAATACTGTACCAACCACGGCGTGTATTATAGAGAATCGAGGTCAAGATTCAAATGTCTGTGATGTGTTGTGTAGAATCACCAGAAACAGAACAACTCTCATAACTCTAAACTACACAATTTGTAACTGACCTTGCCACCTGAGAGCCATACATAGTGGAGTTGAGTGGGATCTGCCGGGCCATGTACCTCATGTAGGGATCCACACTAAGATACTCTGCTTCTACCACCACATCTGACGATTGACAAGGCATTATTTGAGATGCTGTTCTGTACTTATATATACTAGAAGCTCACTAATTTGGTCTCCACTAATTTGAAATACTGTACCAGCCAGTTAGTTCATACATTTTTCGTGAGGGCAAAATATCTGAATATTTAGAAAACTTTTCAAGCCAACTATACAAATTATTTGAAATTTGTATGAAATCTACCCACTCTATTATGTAAAAAATAATATCATACTGTATATACAGTACTCACAAACTTGTTAGATACTGCAGAATACAGAAGACAATTGCTTGACAGAGCAACACTGACTATAATGAGCATGAGAACAGGAAATAAAAACCGACTTTCAAATGATCACAATCGTTTTAAGGTAAATTAAAGAGGAAAATAACAAATCTTATTAACGTCTCATATTACTTTACAAAATTATGTGGTGAAATAAAAAAGGATGAATGAAAGCTTTGAGCTACTCCAGATATTAGGACTACAGAATCAATACTTCAGTTAAAAATAAATAGGTTAAGCTCCTTAAACTGGAAAAAAATTAAGGACTTGTCTGAGAAGTTGATCCATTTTGCAAATATTCAACTATGAACTTGCAATATGAACAAACATAAAGAGGAAACCGTTTGAAACACAACTTAATACTGTATAAAGAATAAAGAGCAACAAACATTAGGACTGCCGTCAAAAAAGAGGACACATTGTGAGGCAGCAAATTTGATGGCCCTTGGGATAGTTGTATAAGTGGAAAACATTACAAATTTCTTAAATGACCAAGAAAATTAACCCTGTCAGCCAATATGTCACAAGCCAATGTGTACTCGTAAGTATAAATAAACAGATACAAAACATGAGAAAACTGTCAGCATGAACAATCTTTATCATGAAATAATTTGTTATGCTGCCCCAAGCCATTAATTACTATTACTGTGCAGTGTTTGGAATTCTGAAAGCAATTAACTTAGCTTTAATGAATTATTTATGATAGAAAAGAGCTCTCTCTCACCTCCATCAGCACATGGTGGCAGCTCCTCCTCTAGACAAGAAAAGTCTTCCACGGTGGGCTTTCCCTTAGGCCGCCTCACCAGCTGCCATACTCTGCTCATCACCATGATGCTGCCTGCGAATATAAGCTTATATTCACAAACTAGTGACAGACGAACAATGCTCCTGGCTGAAATATTGTTATTATTATTGTTTTGGTCATCTGGGGAATCTTAGGAATTTAGGTTAGGTTAGATATAGTACATGGGTTCTGTGGTTAGGTTGGTTAGGATAGGTTAGGCAAGATTCAAAACACGTCTAAAACAGTCGGAAAAACAAAGATGGCCGAAACGATAATGTTAATGAAATATTTATGGATCACGTGAAGGTCAGCATTACTGTGTTCAGTCACCAGGTGAAATAAGCCGGGATGCCTAATCTTCACATGATCCATATTTACTAACTGGCAATACTGGTACTATATATATTACCAAAAATTATGAGAAGCTGTATGTTGGCAAATTCACAGAAACATTTTCTAAAGGAACGAATAAAACTGGACCTTAAAAGTAGGATACAATTTGATATGACTTCAAAATTCAAGTTTTATATAAGTTCAGGAAAACAAAATAAAACAAGATACCTGTGCATACATACCAAGCAGGTCTACGTGAACTCCAAGCTTATAATATTAACATTTCCGTATCTGCATCACCTAGAGAAGTTCAGTCCGCAGTCACCATGACAAAGTACCTTATCTAATTCTATGTTTAGCTACAATATTTCTCACCATATAAGATGTGCCATTTCAAAAAAAAATTAATAAAAATAATAATAAATAAATAAATAAACCTTAGTGTTTCCTCTAGATGTAAATAATGTCCCTTTATGGAAAATAATCCAGAAAAAGTTGATCTGGAAGTACAGTTAGATGTTTTGATGTCATAGCCACCATAGTCATTGAGGTTGGAACTTAAGTCCTTCTTGCCACTTATCTGCTACAGGTATTTTGTGATATCAATTTGTAGTTTCAACCAACCACAGCTCTCGAGTTGAGCAATGTTTTTTTTCCGATGATTTAGGCAATTTTAAGACACTTTTCTTCTGTGACGTTTGCCTCGCAAATGACTTATATATACCAGGGAGGTCCAGGGAGTTGGAGTCCCCCAGTTATGGGGTTGGGTTAGGTAATTTTAGGTAATTTACGAGGGAAACATCATTGAAGAAAAGAGTAAAATTGTAGATTACAGCAACCAAAGATTTTGATAACAACAAAACAAAACAAATTTTTCCGAAGGTTTTTGAGGCGATTGGTTCAAATCTGGGGTTCTTGGTGGGGGAGAGCCAAAACGAGTGATGTGTGGAAGAAGCGAATTCCAAAATTGTCCAAATCGCAACAAGAAAACACCAGAAGAACACATTATGCAACAGAAATTCTGTGATTTATGAAAATAGTAGAAATAATAGTTCTATTGATTGAGTGTTCTGAATTCCCAGTACTCTGTGCTTACTAACCTATACAATACAGTGATCCCTCTGTTAACGAACTCAATCCGTTCCAGAAGGTCGTTCGTTAACCGAAAAGTTCGTTAACCGAAACCATTGTTTCAATGGGTTTTTGGGTAATTGGTTCCAGCTCACCAAAAATTTCCTAAATTCAACAAAAATGGTAGAAAAGTTCACTTACTTTGAGGTGTGTATGTAGAAGGCTCCTGGATGATGATGATGATGATGATGATGATGGGATTTAGAATGGGGGTGGAGGAGAAGGAAGAAGAGAAGGCATTGGGGTAGAAGATAAGTGACCCCATGGCACCATTTCACCCATAAAATTTTAGCTCTCTTGATGTAATTCAAGATTATTTTCTTTAAATCAACACTGCACTGCATTATATATTGTCAATATGTAAAATATATTTCAAAATGACCAATAATTTGCCTGGAAACACAGAAAAAAAGCATTTAGTTGAAGAGAGTCTCAAGCAAGATGTTACCTCCAGTGAAAACAGAGAGAGACTAACTCCTGTTTGCTGTGTTAAGAGGCTGGATGCCGCGCATTAAACTAGTCACTTTACCTTCAGTTATGTTCAATAATTGTTAAAATGACTAAAAAATTGAATATTAAACTTTTAAAATTATTGAATAGTATAAACTTCTTGATATTTACTAAAATATTAAGGAATTTAAGCCCTAGAACCGATTTATGTATTGGCGGACTGATATTAAAGCTGGTTGCCCGGTCATTGCAAGTGAAAACATGTTGAGGTCGGTTCGTAAGAACTTCGTTAACCGAATTTTTTTTCGTTAACCGAATTGAAGATCCTTATGGAAGGCAGTTCGTTAATCGAAATTACGTTAACCGAGGTGTTCGTTAAACGAGGGGTCACTGTATAACCAAACTAAACCTAACTAATCCCTTAGCCGAGCCCCCAGACGCGATGTTATAACCCAGAGTCACGTGGTCAGCCTCCACAAGAATATAAATAGCCATTACATTATTTCTTACCTTACTCCATGTCAGGGTCGGAGTCTCGGGGCAGAATGAGCCAGTAATATTGCAGTAAACAGCAACCACAGAATTCCTGATATCCCAAAAGAGTGATTTCAGATAAAAACCTAACCTAACCAATCGCATCAAAAACCCCCAAAAAATATTGAATTTTTTGTCAGATTCTTTGGTTGCTGTAATCAGCAATTTTACCAAGAAAGGTATCTTAAAATTGTCTAAGCCAGCGGAAAAATAAAACACAATGCTCAACTCGAGAGCCGTGGTTGGTGAAAACTACAAATTGACTGAAAATTAATAATGATACAATATCCAATACACTACTGTTTAAGTCTGTACCTTCATTAGACACAAATGAATCGGATCTGTAGCATCTTTGTGGGTATTTTTGCGTTTACACATTCCACATTCCTACCACTAATCTATTATCATATTCTAATAAGACGTCTAATTATAAGATAATTTTCATTTATTACATTACCGTCGCAAATGTATAATTACGGAGATAGCATATCCAAAATTTTCTCTATTTTCTTCCATTAATCTTCCTCCATTATCGCCTACCTCACCTCTCACACTGGTGTCTCCTTCATAAATCATCACGCCCATGCGTTCCCGTACACGCCACGCGACCAATCAAAAGCTCAATCAAAATCGATTTTTATTTTGGGGCTCTCATATTTCGAAATTCACATTCATTTCCGACCATGGAAGTCTGCGATGGGTGTCACTTCAATTATATGGAGCTGATTTAGAGTCTTGGGGGGAAAAAACGAAGAAACTATAGCATTTTTTCCATCGCATGGTGTTCTTCCAACCTCAGTAAAGTGTCTTAAGTGCAAGACTGAATGTAAATATCACAAAGACCAACATATGTGGCGTTGTGTAAGAATCTAAGAATCCAACGACGAACAAGAACCAGGCCAATAAGGTAAGAAATAAGTGATTCCATCATATGGTGAGTCAGTTAGGTTAGGTTAGGTTAGGTTGGTTAGGTTAGGTTAGGTTAGGTTAGGTTAGGTTGGTTTGGTTTTTGTTTTCTAGTGTGTTTTGGTGTATTTTTTATTCGCTTAGCCATTATTTTTTTTCGAAAAACGTCCCACTAAAAAAAAAATCGATAAAAAAAGGCCAATTTACGAAGGAAATGAAGGTCATATTCCGTTGAAACACAAAAATACACTAGAAAATACATATTTTTTACTTTCTAACAGAGTGGGAGGTGGAAGTGTAAATTTACCTCTTTGTGTAGGTGTTACAGCAGTACAATCAAATGCAATATAGGTAAGAACCTAACAGATAAAGGTGTAGATAACATATCGTGGACTTCTTATATAACTACTTCTACTGGCTCTCATCACAACCTCTTAATTAAATGAAAAATATTGCGAACTAAAACTTTATATGAAAACCATATATGCCAAACGGGAAAAAGAAATTACTTACCTATTCTCCTCCGTGATATATGAAGAGGTAATCCTTCCAATAACTTTAAAGAAGCAGTTACAGGACAGACTGTCTAACGAGGGAACTACACACACTCGCCTGATGTGAACGAACCCATTGAACTGTTAAGGACGCGACAAAACCAGGGTTGCCAACTCGGATTTTCAAATGTCGCTAGGCTGGTACCTAAAAGTAGCTAAATGTCTCTAAATCTTCCATGGAAAGTCGCTAGCTATTATTCCCCCCCTTCAGTAATTTGATGCAAATTATATTTTCATAATGCCGACTATAATGGACGGAGTATAAATAAAATGCATTATGTAAAAATAAAAATATTATTTTTTTTAAAGCTTAATGTGCACACTTACCTATTATTCAATAGTAATTGCATCCCAGTCCTCTCCGTAGTCGTCGGCAGTGTGAACAACTGTAGAGCTGGAAGCATGTGAAGTGCTTGGTTCAGGTTCTCTTGTAACTGTATGCCTCCACAGTCCCTATCTTTCTTAAAATATCACTAGGAAGTTCATAACTTGCACAACAGGTGTTCTGTCTTTTTAACCCATACTTTATTGTAAGAATTGCCTTTAATGTCGATAGTTTCATTTTGTTGCGCAATTTTGATTTCACAAAGTTCATATTACTAAATGTGCGCTCTACATCTGCGTTTGAATGCGGAAGAGATAAGGCAGCGAGTGTAATTTCAGCCAGATCATGGTAAGGGTTTTCACCTGTCGCATCTCTGTAATTTGCCACTTCTGACCACAATTTTAGGGTGTTAGATGCATGGACGGGCTGACATCAAGTGATCAGGAAATAGACGTGTCCCTCCTTCTGTACCACGACCCGTTGAAATGCATTAAACTTTTCTTATTATTTATTGTCCCTGTAACCCCGTTGCTATATATTATGGCTCGAAATTAGGAAAACTGAGTTTACATGGACAGTCCAAAAGTATCCAGAAAGTCGCTAGATTTCTGTGGCTATCTCTAGATTTGAGACAAGTCGCAAATCGCTCTAAAATGTCGCTAGAAAAAAACAAAAAAACTCTAGATCTAGCTACAAAGTCGCTAAGTTGGCAACTCTGGACAAAACTTGTTCCCGATGCCTGGTATACTGTACAACCAACTGGTATGCATGAGTGAACTAGCTCGGTGGGTAGTTTAATCCTCCCATTTAATGAGATTGTTCTTCATAGGTCCAGTGTTAGTACAAAAGGAAACTGGAATAACTTGAGAAAACCTGCCAAGATAAGAACCTTCTCAGATATAATAAGAGTCTCAAGGAATGTAGTCGTGACAATTCATCACCTAAAAACCACAAGACTCCTTCAACCCTTTACAAAAAGTCTATCCGTCTATTCATTATCATATTCCATGTTTGTTTACAAGCTGTTGTAAATACTTACGTTTACATAGCCCTTTTTATTTCTGGAATTTTCTTAAGCAATTATTATGATGCAAATTCAACGGAAAATGAGTGAAAAAATTTGGACAAGGTTCAAGAAAACAACTTTCAGTTTTAAATTTATTCAATACACGTGTTCAGCTTTCGATAAAGTTGTCTACTTGCTGTTAAATAAGCTGTATAAGCCAAGTGTTCTCCACCATTTACCTCATCACTTTACTTCACTCTTGCTTATCGAAAACTCGTGAATAATGAGGTTAACCTTTAGAAGAGTGTACGAGACAAGAGGACACAACACTAAATTGTACTTGAAAACTAAATGACATGAAAGAAGTTTGGCCGAATTAGGTAATGATGGAGCCGCCTGGCTTACGGGTGTTTACCAGCTTTAAACGAACTACCGTTACAGGTACGTCATACCCACAAGAATCCAATAGGATTAATCGACACTATCAATTTAGTGGTACTCATGTATGTAGTAAAATTACACGAGACGTTTAATATCAGCAAAAAAGTTTTCATTTTACGACCTACTACAACACAATAACACTAGATGATGCTTACTTTCTCCTGAACTCCATGGAAGAGCGTCCAAATTGACTCCATGACGATGGCTATAAGCAGCTGGAGTTGACAGGAACAAATTAACTGGTATTTTTTACGTCTTTAATGCTGTGTCTCCTACAAAAATCCTACAAATGATTATTGGTGGGATGTCCTGATATGAGGCCTAGATTTACTGCACTGTTAAAGTAGAAAAAAGTATGAGATGTTTATATCAAATAATAACTCTAATTCATATCTCACGTTAAACAGAGCTGTTATTGTGACAATGTATACAGTAAGTTTTCTAAGTACTCTACTAATAATACCAGTATCATGGATTTGACCGATCGATAATAAGCATTTTTGGGGGGGATGAACCACACTTAAATCTGGGTTGAGTTTCTCCATTTTATAATAACAATTTTGGCATCTGATAGACAAATGACAGACACTGACAATCAACTGCTTAGATTCAACATCTAGCCTTGCTATAATTGTAGTAACATATGTCATACGTAATTTTAAAAATGTATTCGCCATAATACTGTAACTGTTGTTGAGAATGCGACACAGGAGCTCATGCAGGGTGTAGGACTTCTGTCTGTGTCTAGTTAAAGAGCTGCTACTGTAACGAAGGCCTTAAACTGTAACTGGGGGTTGGAGTACTATACTGTAATAGGTGAAGGTACGATCAAGCACATAATTATCATACAGTACAAAGTTGAGGTTAGAGTATTAATTGGGAGTAAGAATGCTATCTGGTGGAGTACCGAGAGTACGAATTTAAGACTAAAGTACTCGAAGGTTGTAAAAAAGTAAGAAAAGAGGTTTGGGAACAAAGAGGAAGAGAGGGAAGGAGTTCTGCTTGACAGCCTCTCACACCAATACAGTATGTGGATCAAGTAACAAATAAATGAACATAAACCAAGAAAAGCCAGATAAAAGTGTTAGGTAGAAATAGTTATTATCACACTATAAATAGGTAGGCGGAATACTTAAACACTGCAGATACAAAGAAACTATGGCATAAAGGATAAATCTGAGTACAGTATATAGCCTTCGACAATATTACAGTTAGATCTACAGAACTACTAACACATCACCACATACCTAACAGCGTAGTTAATGTATTTGTTCCTTTCAATTCCTTATTTGGTTCATTTTTCTTCAGTGTACAGCTTCAGCAATATTCATTTAGTGGAGAAGAAAACTTGGTGGTGATAAACATTCAACCGGACATACTGTTGTAGGTCACAAGATGCCTCAGACCCCCAAACCACGAACTTTACATCTACTGCTATAAACTCTGCCAGGTAATGAACACAAAAACATTTTGACTAGATTCTGCATTACTTAGATCAAGAGTGGTAGCTTGGTGTGAGCCAGAGAATAAGGAGTGCTTATGCCAACCTCGGCAAAAAAAAATTTCCTTGTCCTTGATTATCTTTTTAAACCGGAGCTTCTAATAAGTGAGAGGGTGTTCTATCGAATAATAATGAAAATTTGCCATTAACTTGAAAATAATTTGTGCGCAAAACTTACTAAGTCTGAACAAAAAACTCGATTATGTGTTCCCATAACTGCAGGAAACTTTCATCTTTATTTCCTTACTTGCTAAACACCGAAAAGCGACGACATAAAACATGGACATATTTACATGCACCCCTCCTGGACAATGCTGGAACGGTGAAGTATTCATGAACCAATATGATGTAGCTCAGGTCGCAAAACAACTCTACATATATTCCCTCTTTTCAGACGCCGCCATCGCAGAGAGTAAGAACCATGAGCGAGGGATTTGCGCCAGGTAGATCTTGCGACGAAATGAGTACAGGAACTGGTTTGAAGTGCAAAGTTCTTAACTAACATTTAACACTATAATATAATACACTTATAATCCACTTTTTACACATATAATCTACAGATCTACACATTAAGTAAATATTCATAAACTAAGAGCTAATCGGTGCTCACTCAGCGGCACCAGAGGGAGATACTCAGCCAACTCTGAAACGCGCAGCAGAGGACTCACTTATCCCTCAATCATATCATCCTAACCTACAAAGTTTCTTACAACACAAATTCAGCTACACTCTTACGGTGTAACTGCACTCTACAGCTGCCTAAAGTATAAAGTAAGTTACAATATATACAAGGAAACCTAATTATACTTGCAAATCATAAAGTACTAATAGTGATAATGTTAGGGTTGATTTAGTAAAGTCATTGGTATGGACGCCGTGTTTTAATATGAGGCTGAGGTAGGCGGTTCAGGGTGTAGGTTGCTGTGGGTCAGTCACGGCCAAGACGGGCACACCGAGTCATCTGGCCCAGAGTAAACCAACGCATTTTAGGAAACCTGTTGTTGTTTTTATTTCATGAGATACCAGATCTTTAAGTAGTCTTCTGAGAATGGTGAAAAATGTATTACTGAGTTCTTGTTGATATGTACGACTATTTCAGTAATATATTTCACTGGATAATTTTAAAATTGAGTTGAAGTTTACTGCAGACCATACAATATTAATATACCCTAAAATATAATTCTAAGAAGCGTCAATATCTTGCCTCTTTATCTCACCCAAATAATGCCTGCAGGACAGTCACCATTAAACTGTTCACTCCCAAACTATAAATTCAGTTCATAAATTTGTTAGGCAATCGAAATTTCACACAAACATTTCTATATTTTCGCTGCTTTATAAAGTATTGAAAAGCATTTATGCCAATCACTTTTCTTTCTCTTTATCTGACAAGTTCTATACACAAAGTTATATGCATATACCTAGATCACGCGCACCTACAGTGATTTACTTGCACAAAGTTATATATTATGAGAGTATAAGCCTCTTACTAAAGAAACCAATATGCTAAGTAAATATACAACCAACTGGATGATGCATATATGTGTAAGTCATAAATTGAACACACGATATAACACCAAACGCCTTCAATATCCTAGTTAAAATAATAATAAAATGCTTACTATTTAACTTGTCAAACCTTTTGGGCGGAAAGAAGGGATTAATGTTTTGTTTAGATCTCAATAAACAGCACACGAGGACATGGGTGTAATGGACATGATGGCTTGAGTGGCTTACACTCGCGTTCAGCAATACTGTATAATAATAGTTGATTTGTCTCTCTGTAACTCAAACCATAATGAATCCGTAATCCATTAACTAATATGGCATCATGTACTCCATTACTGATCATTAGTATCCAAACTCGTCTCTATAGATACCGAGTTGTGCACCTAGATAAGACTTTCCTATTTATGGGAACTCGCTGCCGAAAATAGATATGCTCAATAGTCCAAGTTAAACCTGTGTGTGTGTGTGTGTGTGTGTGTGTGTGTGTGTGTGTGTGTGTGTGTGTGTGTGTGTGTGTTGTCACTCAACTCTATCTCCGCTGGTGTTGTGTGCTGGGAAGGTGAAGTTTAGTGAAGTTTAAACCCACGTACAACCTCTCCAAGATCTTTGAACGTGACTCAGAGCTAATGATACTGTACTTATCAATGGCAAACTAAGCACATGCAGGGTGTTAGTCAAATCAATACATCAAATCTGTGGCTGGACGATTTCATATGTAAAATTTAATCATCTGAAAATATATGAAGAACTTTCGTTACTGGGAAGCTAGAGTAACATTTACCAAATCGTCTACATCTTAAAGCTAATACACCAATTACATGTAATTCTATGTTCTTGTACAGCTAAATGGAATGTTAAAACAAAATGGGACAGAAAAAATAAAAAAAATATACAAGTGCTCTTGAGGCAGATGTTAAAATGTACTGTTGTATGTATTAATATAGGTAAAGAGCATGAGCTTCAAATATATTACAACATTTAAGTTTGTTTAAAGCTTATGGAGGGTGCATCGCCGTGCGTCGACAACGAGTCTACGGTACAGTACACTGTTTTGGCGAACATTAGTGGACAATGTTTTCACAAACAGCAAACCGAGTGAAATCTAATATTAACGAATTCTACATCTACAATTAACTGATCGCTATAATAGTCACATAATCGCAAAGTTCAAATACAATATATTTGATCTTAGGATGGGCTTGAAACTTTCTCGTTTTCTATAATAGCCCATTTTTTATCTTTGTGGGTAACCAAAGAAATTTCACTCTCCCTCTCAGGGTTTCCAGGTAAGCGCCAACAGGACCAAGAGCGCGACAATTATGGGTTTGGTGTAAGTAAGAGAGGCAGCAGAGGAGGCGACACGAGCCCCCACCATAGGTCGGAGAGAGTTATCTTGTTCATGGGTGTTGTAGTGTCTGCAGCTGATGAGAGTTGGTCCCCAGCTGGTGGGTCGAGGGGTGTCGCCCAACTGCCGGGGAGTGGTGGCCGTTTGTCCCAGCATCAGCCACATACCGCCCGTCTCATCCACACCCGTTCGGATAATCTCCTTCTCGACGACTGGCACCCGCACGCCCACAGCCTTACACCCTCCTGTCGACGTCACATCTTGCGATTTCTTGGGGGTCCACTTCCCCGGTCGCCCGCACTCCTTTCCTTTGTAGGAGTTGAGGGCGCTGGCCAAATCAGCGTCTTCTGGTGTCAGTACAAGGCGGCTGACGGTAAAGTCATGGGCGTAAGGGGCGGGCGTGGCGTGGGCGTAGGTACCGGTGGCGTGGAGGGTGAAGGAAGGGCGGGAACACTCTGGGTCATGGTAGTAGCGTAGAGTCATTGACCACTCCTGACGAGCCGGGCTGAGGGGGGACACAACGTGGAGATCAACAACCATTTACATCAGATTATCATTAACACACTTTAACACATTTTACTTCTATATCCATCTTTTTGCTCTCTCACTTTAATCATTATTCCCATGGTCAGTGTATGAGGGAAATTCAGGCAATCGTCCTTTCTTAAACCCGAGTCACAACTCATGCCACTTCTAATCATGCCAAGGCTACTCCGTGCAACTTTATGTTAGTCGAACTCTTCAATCATAATTTACCTCCTGCATTTCTCACACTGCTTGACTATGGAACTCTCTTCTCTCTCACAAGATTTCTGTCCACCTACAACATTTTAAATGTAGGGCGCACACACACACACACACACACACACACACACACACACACACACACACACACACACACACACACACCTTAACGCACATCTAAACATATACTTTCACCTCCTGTATCCATATTGTGTATTTATTCTTCACCGATAATTCTAAAACAGATCAACTACCACATCTAAGATTCTTTACACACATAAGAAGTGACAGAGTGGAAGTTTGTTTACCTGAAGAGGAGGTGGCGAGTGAGGAACATGCCGTAGGGTCGCGTCTCACACCTCGGGGAGGCCCAGGCGCCCGCCAGCACCAGAGGCAGGGCGGGGCCAGCGTGCAGGTGGGCGGGGCTACGCTCGTTGCTCCGCCCCACCGCCCCACACACTCCACAATCACTTGCCTGTAAGACACCACACCGTCAACACTGTTGCTGCTGCTATTGGTCTACGTAACATCATGGAAAGAGGCACCTACTCCAGTTTAATAACTATTTCTACACAATTATTACATTAATTTTTAAAGAAAGGCATACTTCCATTCAAAATATATATATATATATATATATATATATATATATATATATATATATATATATATATATATATATATATATATATATATATATATATATATCGTCGAAAACAAAACAATATTCATAGTCTATGGTACATGTATTGCCGTTACATATAATTAACGATGACAAATAAAGCGTGTCACAATTAAGAGGCAAATACCATTAACATTAAACCACAGGCAATGTTACGTTTCACACTGTCACGTATGGGAGGCCCCCGCCGCCGCCACCACACCTTCCTCTGGCCCTCTCTCCTCCACCCCAGGCTTAGGGACCCCTCACTACACACAATGACACCATACCAAGGATTAACCCACCATACCAAGGATTAACCCACCATACCAAGAATTAACCCACCATCCTCAGTCTCAAGGCAGTAACTTCTAACTCTGGTAACATAATCCATAAACACTTGGTCATAACAAGCAGTAATTCTCATTCCTTCAGTAAGTATATAAGCTTCCATATATATAGATCATTAATAAAGCGAGAACAGCACGAGCAAGCGTCTTGATATCACCCTTCCCCGTCGGGTTTGCTTTGATCTGAAGGCGGATAAGGGAACGGGTAATGTCTGTCCGCATGACTTGGGGAGAAGTCAAGGTCGATCCAACACTATGATCTGTTATCCGAATTCACTAACCGATCCGACATTCTGATTCAATATCCGATCATAAATACAATCAATAATTTATAGGGTTAAAATAAGATGTGTAGACTCACTCTCTCTCGATGGTAATAAGCACACAAACACTACCATACACACACACATACAATAACAAAACATGATGACTTCTAACTCTATATAGCAACCAGCAACGCCAAATGTCTTTCTTCTCTCTCTCTCTTTTCCTCTCTCACTCTCCCCCTCTCTCATGACGGGTCCCAGGTGCGAGTATAACCCCAGGACTAACATACGCTATACCCTAAGCGTTGTCCGGCAAGATATATGGTGTATAATATCACACTTTACATTCCCGGGTATATTGTGTATCAAATTCCCCTTCACCTTCCCCCTTTGTATTTTGCATATAATGATCGACTCCCGATGCTCCACGACCTCACGACTATGTATGTATGTGTAATGAAAAGGGCATAGTATAGTCCAAAAAAAAAATATATACATATGTGTAGATAGATACATGCAGGCATACACGCGTTATACACAAATACAAGGGAGCACACGTGTATACAGGGATATGGTTATGAAGTCACTCTGTTTTAGATACTACTACTACTACTACTACTACTACTACTACTACTACTACTACTACTACGCTTTTATCAACACGTACTTTAGATACCAATTCTCATTATAATCAGCAGGTACAGTACTTTTACAACACACCCCCGGAATTTTGTGTGTGTGTGTGTGTGTGTGTGTGTGTGTGTGTGTGTGTGTGTGTACAATTTCACTTATTTTCATTATTTCTTTTATCATCAAGTGTTTAAGACTCGAGGAAATGTCTGTCTGTCTGTCTGTCTGTCTGTCTGTCTGTCTATCTGTCTGTCTGTCTGTCTGTCTGTCTGTCTACTAGTATGTATATCTTTCTTTCTTTTTTATATATGTCTCTTTCTCGTCTCCTCTAATCCCCTCTTCGCCTCTCCTCCCTACAGCCCCGGGGGGAGGGAGGGAGTGGGGGTGAGGTGTGAGGTGAGGAGGTGTGAGGGGGTGAGGAGGTGTGAGGGAGGTTGAGTTATGGTTTAGTTGTGTTTTACTGGTGGCCTCCCAGCCCTCCCAGCTGTTGTCATTGCTTCCCTCTCTCCCCTCCCTCATTCCTCCCTTCCCCTAACTCTCCCCCTCATATCTCTCCTCTTTTCCTTTCCCTCATTCCCCTTCCCTTCATTTTCCTTTACCATCCTTTCTCATCTTCTCCCCTCATTCCCGCATTCCTTCCCTTCACCTGCCCTTCCTTCATCATCTCCTTTCCTGTATTCTTCCTTCCCACTACCCTCCCCCTATCCTCCCACCTCCCCCTCTTCCCTCTCATCCGCTCTTCTCCATCCCGTTCCTTTCCCCCATTCTAAAACTGGTTATGAAAGGGAGTGTGGGGAATGAAGAATAACTGCAAGGGGGCGTGGGGAGGAAAGGGCTCAGCAGGGCGTGGGGAAGAGGCATAACAAGGGCGTGGGGAAGAATAACAAGAGGCGTGGGGAAAAACAACAAGGGCGTGGGGAAGAATAACAAGGGGCGTGGGAAGAATAACAGAGGCGTGGGGAATGAAGAAAAAAGGGGCGTGGGGAAGAATAACAAGGGGCGTGGCATCTCAAGCACAATTGTATCATTTTAATTTGTGTATTTAGGGCAGGGCAGGCCAGAGGAGGAGGAGGGAGGAGGAAGGGGGAGGAGAGGTGGAGGAGGAGGAGGAGGAGGAAGGGGGAGAGGTGGAGGAAGAGGAGGTAGGGGCAGGAGGTCATCAGGGAGAGGTGGAGGAAGAGGAGGTAGGGGCAGGAGGTCATCAGATTCAAGCAACTAAGTGAGGCTGCTTATGTTGTGGTGTGGCCCAGCTGGCTCAACCCTGATTATTTTGTGAGGGGAGTGAGGGGGAGGTGAGGTAGGGAGAGAAGATAATGGGAGGGAGGGAGGACAAGTGGAAGGAAGGAAGGAAGAAAGAAGGTGGAAGGTGTGTGAGAAGGAAGAGAGAAGGGGTGGGAAGGAGGGAGGGAATAGACGTGGATATAAAAATGGATAGCTAATGAGAGAGGCCATGAGAACACACACACACACACACACACACACACACACACACACACACACACACACACACACGACAAACCAGAGATTAGCGCTGGACGACACAAGAGCTCAACAACAGGACACACACACACACACACACACTACACAGGTCGTGCCGGGTGTCATAAATTCCCAGAGGTTCCCCATGGGGACCCCGCTGACCCACACTCACTAACAGGCCGCAGTGAGGCGACGGAGGAGAACCAGACCCACGGCCCACGATCCTAACATACCCATATTGAGGCTGGAGAGGAGAGCCAGATCTATTCGACTCATGACGAGTCATAACCCCAAACAAACAACTCACAACACAACCCAAACCCTACGGCCCATGGTTCACGGCTCTCATAACGCCTGGTGTAGACGAGGAACTGAGATTAATTGTTGTTGTAATTTGAGTTAAAGAAGATGTCAGTTTAGTTCCAATTATTAATTTACACTCACTGACTGTGTGTGTGTGTGTGTGTGTGTGTGTGTGTGTGTGTGTGTGTGTGGGTGTGAACACATTGTGACCCACGTGACGTATCTGTCTGTGTTTTTTTCTTTTAATACCAAGTTTTCTTTCATTTCATCAGCATTGACCCAATTCTCAGCTGTAACTGTTTGTCTTTCTGTACCAACAACCTACAAATAAAATATCTCATTAATACATAAAAATCCTGAGACGTAAGGAAATGTAATCACCTTAATGTTAATTAAAATCATAATAAAGTATGGAGAGAAGGACCCGGCCATGAAGCCTTAAGGGAGAAGCGAGAGAGCATCGCTGAGAATGTAAACAAACTCTGAAATCCCGAATTCTCGGCATTTTAGAAGACAATTCTCAAGGACATACAGGTACAAGTTAATTCTCAGACTATATTATAAATTATATTTTCTTCTTACTTGGTGACGTTATTAACCATTTAGAGGGCAGAGTATCCCTTAGGTATTTTTATTCTGGTTAACTCCAGACGATTTTATTCAGCTGAGGGGAGCCCCTGTCCGCTAAACACACGTGAATTACACGAAAGCCCTTGGGAACTTCGTGTTTTCTTCTTTCCTTGTGGTTATCAGCATATATATATATATATATATATATATATATATATATATATATATATATATATATATATATATATATATATATATATATATTTATATATATATATATATATATGTATATATATATATATATATATATACCGTAAAAACCGATAAACAAAAATGAATTTATCAACCAATAGGAATCCGGAACCTGGAAGATGATGAATCATGTTTCCCGCCGGAAGTAAACACAATAGTTAAATAAGCCACGGTGTAAATATCAAAACAATCATATAGACTCAAACAACACACAAATTGTAGTGGACGTTGTTGGGTCGATTATTTTCCTCTCGGTTATCAACACAAACTCCCGAAACCAAACCTGTTAGCTGAGGTATAAGGTAGGTGGGTGGGTGAGTGGCATAGCATTCTCCTGTTCTTGGATATTTGGTAAAGTTTCCTGATATTTTACAGGGTAAAACTTTCCTTCTTCATGAAAGAGAGAACATAAATTATTTGGGACAACAGATAAACCGAAACAAGATGAATAATAATAACAATAATAACAATAATAACAATAATAATACAGTAATAATAATAATAATAATAATAATAATAATAGTAATAATAATAATAACAAAACGAGCAGTAGGGCAGTAATGTGGACAGTAGTCTGACCCTCGTGTACTGCCTGACACTTCCTCCCGCCCTGAAACTTTCTTCCGGTCACTGCCGGTGGTTATTAGAGGAGGAAGGACGTGGCATAGAAGAGGCGTGGTCTTGGGGGAAGGGGCGTATAGTGTAGCCTGGGGAGGAAGGGGAGAAGTGTAACAGAGGACGAGATGGTGAAGAGAGGAGACGCCATTTACCTCCCCACATTTCCATCAGGTGTTAAAGACCCTACCCCTCACCCCCACCCCCTCCCTCTACACAACCCCTCACCCCCTCCTTCTACACAACCCCACCCTACACAACTCACCACTGCAACCTCTACCACTCCCTGTCTCAAGTGGATTATGCCTCGCCATCTGTGTTTGTTTACCCTGAGCCAGACAACTGTTGC